CCTGCCTGCCTGCCTGCTCTCTCTCTCTGTGTTTCTGTCTCTGTCTCTGTCCCTCTCTCTCCTCTCTCGTATCTCGCTCTCAGCTCTGCACAGTTGGTTATCTCTCACGCCCCCCCTTTCCTTCCCTGTCAACCAATAAAACTCCACGTGGGATCCTTGACTCACGGTTCGTGTCTCGTTACTAGGTAAACTTAGACATTTTAACAACAGTGGCCACCTGCGGGGCAGCAGGACTGCATGGTGACTCTCATGTTGCTTTCACTCAGAGGACTTCTGACAAAAGACAACAAGGTGGCCGGCTCCCTCTGCATTCCAGCTAGCTTCCAACTACTAGCCCAGGCATTGGCCATTTACCTCTTAGCACAGGTGACCCAAGTGGCCCAAGCTAGGTACTGTCTCACTCTGGTCCTGGCTACTCTAGTATTTCCCCTTTCCTCCTCTGTAAAATAATGGTGATCATCATCTGGTTGTGAAATAATGACCTTTCAGTGTCCACCACAGACTGCACTTGGCAAGGGCAGAGGCCTCAGGGAGGCTGAGATTCAAGGGAGCAGGACATACAGCCCTTTCTCGGGTAGAACACTGAAGTGAAGGAGTTGCCTCGGAGTGTCAGCAGTCTCCAGAGCCTTCTGCGCTGTGGAATGATGACCACAAGCTACAAAAGGGGCCACAAGCTACAGAAGGGACTTTGCTACCTCCTACACAGTGGCAACAGAGGAAGAGAAAGTCCCAAACTCATGGAGCCTGGAGCTGGATATCAGGACAGGTGGTAGGAGGCTCGAGGGAGGACGGGGAGCGCCCACTGCCATTGGGGCCAGCTGCTAGCACAATGCCAGGGTCAGTTCTACAAGAAACAACCAACAGCACTGACATTTAGAGCAGGGGCGAAGAAAGGACAACAAGAGGAGAAAAAAGAAGATTTTTTAAAAAGTCAAAGTTAATGGATTTTTAAATTAAATCTCTACGGGTGGCTGGGTGTGATAGCACACGCCTCTAATCCCAGAACTGGGGAGGCAGAGGCTGGTGGATCTCATTGAATTCAAGGACAGCCTTGTCTACAAAGTGAGTTCCAGGACAGCCAGGGCTACACAGAGAAACCCTGTCTCAAAAAACCAATAATAATAATAATGTTAATCTCTACAGATGGGAACATTGTCATAATCTTTTAATGGGGAACAAATTTTAATACATGGGTTTCAGCCTTTGAAAGTCAGTCTGCCAGCAGCTTACAAAAGGTTTCCAAATATGTCAAGTCCAAAATACAACCCCTGGAAAAGGGGGCTTCCTCCAAGTTATTTGAGATTAATTTTCTATCACGTGGAAAGTGGGGTATGGTGGTTCACACCTGTACACCCAGCACTCAAAAGAGGCCTGAGAAAGGAGAATGGTTCTGAGTTCAAGTTACAGTTTGAGTTACAGTTTAAGATCCTGTCTCAAGACAAAAACAAAAAAATTGATTAGCTTCCTCAGTCACTTCCATTTGTAAACAGCCCAAGGCTTGAAGATGTCGCTATGTAGTGCTGTCTTGGTATTTTATCCCTGGGATGGAGTTGGAGGTGTGTGGAGGGGTGGTAAATAGGGACTCCCATCCTCAAGCCTCTCACATTTCACCAGCCTCCTGTTCCAGTCACACTTGTGAAGCAGAGATCTGCTCCCTGCTTCCTTTAGACCTCAGTGAATCCATCAGCACAACTTCAAGGAATGGAGCCAGAGCTGGGTTCAAGACCAGCCCTGCATGGGCAAATCCGTCTTCCCTCTGGCCAAGTATCCAGTGTCTGGAATGACCGGCGGGTGGAATCCGGAGGCCACAGCTATGTGTCAGACACTGCTTTTTAAACAGACCAGACTGCACTGGGGTTTAACTAACAAAACCAAACTAGAGGAAAAAAGTTTATGTTGAACTATGTAGATCCCTAGGGCTGGGTTTTGCAATCAGCTTCTGAGCTTAGGCTGGGGAGGGGAGGGGGGATAGGTTTTGACCTTCACATACAGTCCTCTTGCCAGGGCTAACAGTCTCCTCCTGCCCCAGTGGTAGAGGGGAGCCGGAGGGCAGTGGTAAGGAAACAGGTTTGGGGCGGGTGAGGGAGCAGTCTGTCAGGCTTGGCTCCTGGAGGTCTGAGTCAGCAGGGCAGGCAGGGCGGGCCCAGTCCACACTTGCTATGGGAAGACCCGGTACAGGAATGTTCCTTCAGTCCAGGGGAGGGCCCTGCCCACTGTGTCCTGACTCCTTCTCCCTTAGACACTGCAACTCAGCTACAGATGGGAGATGCTCCAAAGCTTGGAGCTGTGGCTGGTGGGTTCAGCCAGGGGCCTTCAGAACAGCCTGGTCCTCAGGACTGGCTCATGATGAACAAGGCCAGTCTGGCCCCAGAGCATCCCCCGTCCTGCTGGGTGAGGTGGCCAGGTACCATCTTCACTAGGACTTAGGATCACTATTCTGAACAATAAGTTGAACTTGGTGCTGTGGGGTGGTCCTGAATAGATACCCAGACCCCCTAGAGCACATGCCTGTATGTGGCACCTGTAACTTGCTCTGCATCTGATCTGGGACATGGACTCCCTGGGCTATTGGTCCCTCAGGGTTCTCTTGAGTATCTAATGAAGCTTCAAGGGGCCTATGAAGTGACACAGATGTGGTACATGTGACACACACCTACAGGATACCTGTTTCATGCTCATGTGATTCTGGCTATGTAAGACTGTTATTGTGTGCAGAGGACTGTTTTGACTACATAGCAAAGTGGCTGAGACATATCTGCAAACAGATGGTAACACGTGTGGTGACAGCTGTGAATACATAATAGAGCATGGCAGTGTAAAGATCTGACTATGTGAGTGGCTCATGTGTGAGTGGCCATGTGTAGACTTTGGACAAGTATATGACTGTGCATCTGTCTGTTTGTGGCAGTGTGTCTACAACCAAGGGACTGCGTCTGAGGCTGCAGTGCCACAGCCATGGCAGAGGCTCAGGTCTGCCTCCACCCCCATCTCTAAATAAGCACAAAGAAGACTCCTTTTCCAGGACTGGGCCAAGATTGGGAACCCAGGGGTCCCCACCCCCATCCCAGGTTCTGGTAGCTGCCCAGGGCAGAAAAAGAGGCCTTGTTTTCCAAACCCCTCAGAGGAAAGTGAGAGAGGAAACTAGAGGCAGCTGGGCCCAGCTCAGTCTGGAACATCTGCCCAGCATGTGACTAAGGCCAACAAGCCCTGTCACCACAGCATGCCCCCCTCTCTATCCCCCCCAGTCTCCTGCTGGGGGACACTCTGCCCAGCTCAGAATGATCACAAACTCCTCCAGTGCATACATAGAAAGAACCCAGAGACAGGGGATATGACACCCCCATTCTCCATACACCTGCTACTAGTCAGACCTCGGGGCTACCTGGATCAGGGTCACTTTATTTTTTCTCTTCTCTTTCTTCCTTCCTTCCTTTTCTTGTTGAGACACTGTTTCACTGTGTAGACCAGGCTGGCCTCGAACTCACAGAGACCCACCTGCATCTGCTGGGATTAAAGGTGTGTGCCACTGTGCTTGGCTTCTAGTTTTTGCTTTCTGATTCTTCTCCTAGGTCCAAGCCCCTCCGAGAACCCACTGTCATGTTATAGGAATAGGAGGTGGTTGCTTCTCAGCAGAGGGACACAGGAAGGCAATGCTATTCCTTGGGGGCAGGAAGTGCTAGCAGGGGGCTTTCCAGGCATCATGGGTTAAGAGGAACATTCCAGAGAGCCTCAGGAAGGAGCCCTACCCCCACCTATGCTCACAGCCTTCTCTAGAGAAAGCTACATGGAGGTCAAAGCTGAGAAGAGGCTACAAACAAGAAGTTAGTTCCTTCGGTAGTGGGAAAATGAAGGCAGGCAGGGAGGGGAGAATTCCTCAGAAAGTCCCAAAACTGACCTAATTTTGACCCAGAGCCAAGGCTCCATTCCAAAAGTTCTTGTAAGGACACTAAGGCCTAAATGAGGCCCATTCCTTACCCCCTGCCATGAGCTCCTCAGACTGTGACCTAACCAAAACCCTCCCTAGTGAACCTGACCCTGGAAAATCCCCACTGCCTCTGAAGTTGGGTGTCTTCAGCTAATCTGCTCTTTCCATATGTGAAAGAATTCTTCCCGGTCACCAGGGCACTCCCAAGGGCATGGGGATGAGTCTTCTTTAAATTCTAAAATGGGAGCCACTGCAGGGCAGGGCAGGCACCCAAGACTGACTGGACTGGGGCTTTCTAGGGACAGCTCCTTAGGACAGGCATCACCTGGGACTATGCTGGGCACACTCTCACACTCTCCTACAGTCCTCAGCACAAAAACTATGACACCTGGAACCCCATACAGGACTTCACCCATTTTGGAGATAAAGGAACGGCTAGCAATATGGCTCAGTCAGTAAAGTGCTTATAGCATAAGCATGAGGACATGAGTTCAAATCCCTACCATCTACATAAGCAAAAAGCCAGAACTCAGACATGACTGCACATGTCTTCAATCGCAGCCCTGGCACTTTCAGGCCAGCCAAGACTATACATACATGCCAGTTGCCTATAATCCCAGCACTGGAGAGACAGGGACAGGAGGATCCCTAGAGTTTACTAGCCAGTCAGCCTAACCTAATTAGTAAGTTTCAGACCAATGAGAAGCTCAAAAACAAAGTAGAAAGCAACTGAAGACACCCAACATGAGCCTCCATGAGCGCCTCCCCAAAACACACACACACACACACACACACACACACACACACACACACACACACACACACACACACACACACACACACAGAGGTGCGGGCAAACAATGAGGCCCAGATCTGAGGAGGCCCATGAAGCCAGCTGGGGTATGGAGCCTTTTACTGCCTCTGACCAGCATAGCCTTGCTCCTGTGTTTTGAAGTTATAAATTAATTTTTAGACCCACCAAGATCATTGAATCCAGTCCAGTGGGGCAGTTTGGATTCTGTTCTCTCCAACTCTCACTGCTTCCAGGATGCAAAAAGAAAAGGCCGTGCCTCTGTTACAGTATTGTAAAAAGTTTATCAAGAAAAAAAGAGTCAAGCAGAAGGACCCAGGAGCAGACCATGGCTTTCCAGGAAGGCAAGAGGGGACAAGGTCACTTCCCAACAACATGCTGCTGGCCACATCCTGGCCTGAAGGGTAAAGGGGCAGCAACTCCTGGAGAATGTAAACAGGTTGGTGGCGGCACATCTAGACAAGTGAGTCTGGCCAGGAGCAGAGGGTCTAAAGTTCCCAGTTTCTTTCAGATTTTCCACTGTGCAATTAGAAGGACTTGAGAAGACCAGCCCACAGAAGCAAAGATGCCTGGGAGCTTGGGCCCTGAACTTGCTAGAATGGGGAGTTACTGCTGGTAACTTTTGGTTCCTCCAGAAGGGCAACTCCGGGGCCAGTGCTTCATGGCTTGAGCACCTTGAGCCCAGAGAAGGGAAAGTCGATGCATAGTCCCCCTAATCAAGGAAGTGTGTGTGTGTGTGTGTGTGTGTGTGTGTGTGTGTGTGTGTGTGTGTGTGTGTAGGGGGTTCCCAACCATGGTAGAAGGGAGTCCAAGACATATAGGAGGAGTTGGCCAGCAGTCCCTCCTGCAGAAGTATGGGTAGGGCAGGGAAAGCCAGGGACCATGGAGCAAGTATGAGCCCTCCCTCTGTCATAAAGATCAGAACCCACGAAGAGGACACCAAACTTGGCTGGGAAAGGTAAGGAAGAGGAGAGACATCGGCCCTCTCCCCAAAATGTCTTTCACTCCATTTACTGTCTTTTAGGTCCTTGTAATTCTTCAAGATATTTCTGGAATGTCACCTACTCCATGGAGTGGCCCCTGACTAGCAGAATTCTGTGGTCCTTCAAGGAGTTTCCCTGAATTCTTAAGTGTCACTGTCATACTGCATTATCTGATATCCATCTTGAAAGGTGGCTCTTCCAGGACAGGCAATGTTCCAGCCTTGGTCACCAGTGTCTCAGCCACGGCCACAGGAGTCAGTGGAGTCCAGGGAATAAACAGGGTGTGGTGGCCAGGTGAGCGTGCACTGTAGGCTCCAGAGAAGCCTGCTCTCTAGGGACTGACCAGCAGTCCAGGCTTTGGCTCAGAGAACACCTATCTCCATCCACCCATCTCTAAAGTGAGGGAAGACTTCTCCAGGGGCACCAGGACTTCTAACGGGCCACTCAGCTCACCCACTCCTGAGCACCTGAGCCACTGCAGTGGCCAGGCCCAGGTGGGAAGAGGATCTGCATGTGTGGCCAGAGTCAGTCAGAGATGGTCATACATGCGAAGGGCCTTCTCCAGTTGCTGGCCCACCCGCTGGTAGAAAAGGATCTGCTGGCGCAGGTAGCTTTGCATCATATGCTTGAAGTCAAGCTCACGGCGCTGGTGGAAGTGGTTCATCTCGGCCTGCAGGGCGAAGCCTACCACACGGCAGCGCCTGCGAATGCCGTCAGCCTCCTCCTGAGCCATGCGGCCCTCATCACTCATGCGCTGGCTTTCCTTCACTTTGGCAAAGGCACCTGACAGGACAGAGCGCAGAACAGGCAGGTTAGGGCTTGCACCTCCCCTACTCACTTCCTGTACATCCCTCTAGTCTCAAGGAGGCGAATGACACCCCAAATGGCTCCGCCCAGACTTCCTCCTGAACCCACCTGACTGTCTCCATCAGGACATCACAGGCCCCACTGTTTCCCATGGCATCTGAGGCTTCCCAACATCTCGTATCTTAGCTGTCACACTCTGGCTGGCTGGCTGGCTTCCCCTGAGCTGTGAGCTGGGTGAGTTCAGGGACTGCCATGTTCCTCTGCTGCCCAGGTCCCCCAAGGCCTGGCCCAGGCAAATGTGGACACGTCTGCTGAACTGACTCATCTCATTCCCAGACTGCTATGACAACGACATCTCCTTCATTTGAGAGTCTATCTCATAGTATCCAAAGATGCCATGCCTGGCTCTTCACTGCCTGCAGATGACAGTCCACACCCATTCCCCTGGCTAGGAGGCCTCAGGGAGTTGGCTCTTATACAAGTGACTTCCACAGTGACACCATGTCCATCCAACCCTCCCAGTTCTTTCCTATCTTACCCCTGCCTGCTGGATCTCTATCCATAATTCAAGGCCTAGATCAGGTTCTACTTCTACACCAAAGTCTCCCCAGTGCCCCAGGCAGGATGCCTCCCAGTGCACCTGTCCCCTGCCTGCTATCATGCAGACGGTAAGGCCACCTGGTAAGTCTTCTCTTACATACAAGCCCCACCCATTCCTCACCCCTGTCCCCATAGAACCAGGGGAGACTGTTATAATGAACAGGTGACAGATGGCAATAGCAAGGGATAAACATGGGCTGGGGCCTTAATCTGGAAGAATTGGACTGAATCAACCAACAGTTAATGAATTCAGTTTTGAATAAAAGGCAGGTGACTAACTTTGCCTTTAAGTCAGTTGTCAAGAAGAGGAGGTAGTGTGGGTGCCTGGCGCTCCCTTTCAAAGGACCAAAGGGAGTCCCCAGTGCAAGGGAACCCTCACACTTCTTTTGTTGACTTCTTTAGTTACTTGCATGTTGGGAAGGAGAGTACAGGCATGAGAGTGGCCATGGAGGACAGAGACATTAGCTCTCTCTGGAGCGTCCCCACCCGCTGGAGCGAGCTGCCTGCCTGCCTGCCGTGGGTGCTGAGAACTGAACTTGGCTACTCTGTAAGAGCAGCACACACTTGCAGCCACTGAGCCATTTCTCCAGCCCTTCTTTAGTTGTTTTTTTTTTTTGACACAGGGTTTCTCTGTATTGTTTTGGAGGCTGTCCTGGAACTCGCTCGCTCTGTAGACCAGGCTGGCCTCAAACTCAGAGATCTGCCTGCCTCTGCCTCCCGAGTGCTGGAATTAAAGGCATGCACCATCACACCCGGCTAAAAAGATTTTTTAAAGAAAGATTTGGTGAGTTTTTTGAGACAGGGTTTCTCTGTGTAACCCTGGCTATCCTGGAACTTACTTTGTACCCCAGGCTGGCCTCCAACTCACAGAGATCCACCTGCCTCTGTCTCCCAAGTGCTGTGATTAAAGGCACACATCATTATACTCAGCAAATAAAGATATGTATGCCCATGGCCTTGATGGAAGATTCAAGCCCCTTTTGTTGATGAGATAATGGCCCAAGTGGCAAGAATGAGTCTCCTGCAATCACTAGGTACCCAGAGACAGGCAGAGCTAGGAGCCAAGGCTTCAGGAGGGGGAAAGAGAGGCAGAAGCCCCAACTGTGAATGAGGATGGCCCCATATGCTGCTTCTCCAGTTGGTGGAACTGTTTGGGAAAGATTGGGAGGTGTGGCCTCATTGCAGGACGTGTGTCATGTGGGTGGGCTTTGCGGTTTCAGAAGTCCACATTCCCAGTTAGTATACACTCTCTCTTCCTCATGCCTATGGATGAGATGTGGACTCTCAGCTCCGGCTCCAGCACAATGCCTGCCCACCTGCTGCCATGCTGTCCACCATGATCATGACCTCTAACCCTCTGAGACTGTGAGCCCCAGTAAATTCTTTTATAAGTCGTCTTGGTCATGGTGTGTCTTCACAGCAATAGAAAGGTAACTAAGACACCATCATTTCCCCACCTGGTGACTCAGTCTGGGACAGAGACCAGTGACAGCTAAGGAGTCCCACCAGAGCAGGCTGGATTATGCCTGTCAAGAACACTTCTACATTCCACTTAGGACTCAGTGTGAGATTCCCTCAGGGTTGCCTCCTGTCCTGGCACACTAGATCCCAGGAATGAGGAGTGAGGACTTGCAGCCTATCAGCTGCAGACCCCAGGACCCCCGGCATATTACCAACCCTCCTCCACTTAAAACTACCTGCTCTAAATTTGGGGGCAGGAGGTCTGAGTCCTAGTACCAGCTGTTACAAGTCCAGAAAACCACTGCTGGGCTGGGCTGCAAGTGTCTCCTCTGTTAAAGGAGACAGATGGAAGTAGATGTGATGTTGCTGAAGACTGCTCATAACAACCAAGTGCCTTACAAGTTTCCACATCTGTAAAAAGGGACAATAACAGCACTAGCTCTATAGTAACTGAGGACTAATTGAACTAATATGCATAAAATGCCAAAGCCTGAACCTGCCATAAATGTGGACATATGAGGCATTATGCTTTGGTGCGCAAACTGCCTTCAAGTATGTGTGTATGACATATGTGTTTATGCATGCATGTATGCATGCATGTTCGTGTGTGTGAGGGAATGCACGTGCCATGGTACACATGTGGCAGTCAGAGGGCAATCTTGGGTGTCAGTCACCACCTTCTACTCTGTTTAAGACAGAGTTTGCTCTTTGTTGTTCGATGCTGTATATGCCAAGCACAAATATCTGGGTGATCCCCCGTCTTCACTTTCCCTTGCATCAAAAAAAACACTGTTTATGCCGGGCAGTGGTGGTGCACACCTTTAATCCCAGCACTCGGGAGGCAGAGGCAGGCGGATCTCTGTGAGTTCGGCCCAGCATGGTCTACAAGAGCTAGTTCCAGGGCAGTCTCCAAAGCCACAGAGAAACCCTGTCTCAAAAAACCAAAAAAAAAAAAAAAAAAAGCAAAAAACCAACACCAACAACAAAAAACACTGTTTAACTACTGAGCCTGGCTTTTGTGTGGGATTTACCCATTGAGCCATCTCCCCAGGCTGCAAACTGTTTTTCTGTCCAAGGACTCACAGCAATTACCTGCTCATGGTGACTCATGGCAACACAATTGTCTGCCATAAAAGCTTAGAAGGTATGGAGCACACCTTTAGCTCCAGCACTCAGGAGGCAGAGGCAAGCAGGTTTCTATGAGCTGAAAGCCAGGTCAAGTTCCAGACCAGCCAAGGCTATGTAATGAGACTCTGTCTCAAACAAAACAAAATTAGAAAGCATACAAGGACTGGGTGGGATAACATACATCTATAATTCTAGTACTTTGAAGGTAGATTAGAACCCTGTTCTTTTTTTTTTTTTAGACTTATTTATCCCATATACAGGGTTCTGCCTACATGCCAGAAGAGGGCACCAGATTGAATTGTAGATTCATGTGGTTGCTGGGAATTGAACTCAGGACCCCTGGAAGAACAATCGATGTTCTTAACCTCTGAGCCATCTCTCTAGCCCCTAGAATCCTGTTCTAATCCTAGAACAAGAGAATTTCAGAAGTTCAAGGTCATTCTTGGCTTATAGCTATATGAGAATCTTTCTAAAAAAAAAAAAAGCAAAACAAAAACAAAAAGTGGGCCACCTATGTTGTAGTAGATGGTGGATGGCCCCACACCTAACATGAGTATATGGACAGCTCAAATTGAACTCAACAGGTTATTTTAAAAAATAATAATAAGAGGTGGTGGTACATATCTTTAATCCCAGTTCTCGGGAGACAGAATTTGAGACCAGCCTGGTCTACATTGAGAGTTCCAGGCTTGGCTATGGCTTAATAAGACCTTGTCTCAAATAAACAAACATACACAAGTGGGGGAGTAGGGAGGTGAATGCATCTGGGAAGAATTAGAGGAAAGAATGAGTGGTGAATATTATCAAATTATACTGTATAAAATTCTCAAAGAATAAAATATTAAAAAAAAATAAAATAGCCTAGGCAGATCAAGAACAGAAGAACATGCCTGTTGTTCTAGTACTCAGTAGACTGAAGCAGGAAGATCAAAGTTTGAGGCCAGGCAGAGATGGTGCACACCTTTAATCCCAGCATCTGAGGCAGAGGCAGGTGGATCTCTGTGAGTTCAAGGCCAGCCTGGTCTATGGAGTGAGTTCCAGGACAGCCAGGGCTACACGGAGAAACCCTGTCTCATGTAAAACACAAACAAACAAGAGTTAAGACTAGCCTGGAGTACAAAGCAAACCCTGTTTCAAAACAGAAGGAAGAGGAGCAACTGCAGCTATTGGAGCGGGAAAGATGCTTAAACATACTTGCTGCCCTTGCAAAGGACCAGAGTTTAGTTGGCAGCTCACAACCCCAGGGGATGCACCCTCTTCCGGCCTCTGTGGTGCCCTCACTCATGTTCACATATGTAGCTCCAAACACAGACACATGATTAAAAACAAAGCTAAAGGAGGAGAGCAGCAGCAGTCGCTGCTTACGTGAAGAAAGGATTACATAAGGCTGAACCTATCTGTCCCCTAGTCAGGAGCTTGTACCTACAGGAACTTTGGGTAAGCCACAAGCTCCAAGGTCCCTCAAGGGACTGAGGTGGTCCTAGAATATGAAGTCCAAGCCGCCTTCCTTCCTCCTTTTCCTTCTGTACCATCAACCCCAATTGTCCAGCCCTTGGGACAGTCCCTCCTCCATCTGCCTAAAGCAGTAGATTCCAACATACTTGGCCCTATACCTACTCTGCCATGAGATCACCTCAGTGTTGCTTATCTGTGAAATTGAAGGGACCATACCAGCCACAGGCCCTGTTTTCTGACTCCCCAGCCTGGCTGGGCCTCCCCCAACTGTTCCCTCACATGCTCACCATTTGTTCAAACGTCTAGATGGGACAGACAGATTCCTGTGCCGCATGATCAAACATCCTGTTACTTTCTCCGAGGAGAGTCTCTATCTACAAGGCTAGTACAGGATGTTCTCCAGCTGCAGTTCCCAAAGCCTGCCCAGTTCTGTCTCTTAGGCTAACTCCAATCCCGCCTCTCATACTCACTCTAGACTCAGGCTAGAACTCAGAACCTAGAGTAAGCTGGGCTTGCACTTCAGGGGGCAGATACAGGGAAATGACCCCAGGTAGCATCTGCTTCTGGTCTCCCCAGAGGGCAGAAGCCCCTGACTCTAGGAAACATGGCCTCTCCTATCTGTCTGTCTATCTGAGATAGAAAGGACAATGTAGTTTTCCCCCCTTCTTTGATGAGAGTCTGGGAACACTCAGTGTGTGGACATGTGATTGTCCCTCTTGCCCAGCTCTGCCCTAAGCGAGAGTCTCCAGCGACTGCGTCGGAGTAGCTCTTTAATCACTGTGCCCAGCCTCTTGCTGCCCACACAAAAACATGCCATCCAAGGAGCTGGTTGAACCAGCTTTCCCAGGCCCAGCACAGTGTGTGGCCCCACTTCCGCACAGGGAGGCGTCTGCCTCTGCCAGGCTGGGCCCCCTCTCTGAGTGCAAAGGCAGACCTATGGGACCAACCTGAGGCACAGGGCAGGCTTTCCCCAGTCTCTGCCTCAAAGGCCTAAGAAACTAAGGTCCAGGAAGACAAAGACCCTTTCCAGTTAGGGACACAAGGAAAGCTAGGTGCCAAGCCGAGCTAGAACTCAGCCTTTGACTTCCTGGGGCTGAAAGGTAAAGAAAGGAAGGGGGAGATGTGAGGGTTCGGCAAACAAAAGAGGTAAAGGAGGAGGTGAAGGGGAAAGCTGCCTGACAGCTAGAGTTCTGACAGCCATCTTCATGATTAGGACAGGGGCCTGGCAGTAGGGGCAACATATTCGCTGTTCCCTACACTCAAACCAGAGGGGTGGCCCAGAGTAAAACTCCTCGACCTCAGGGCCTAGGGTCCTGGGAGCCAGCCCTACGCCCTGCATATATTCTTCCTGAGTTACCAGCCCCGGGGAGGACCACGCCTCTCTCTTGACATCTGCCTTCCCTAAGTCTGGACTCAGGCACCTGTTAGGTCAGCCCCTGACTGAACTCTTATGCAAGAGAAGCCCAGCTTGGGAAGGGAAGATACACTGGCCCATGTGAACAGAGCCCTGGACCTCTGGTTCTATTCCCCTGTGCCCAGCTTAGTGCTCCACGTGACCCAGGATGAGTCACTCCGCTGGCAGTTCCTTAACAGCAGCAACAGGCAGGGGCTCATCCTGTCCCTCCCCCACAGGGGGCCATGAGAAGTGAAAACATGATGGGGCTGGGAGGCGGGCCAATATGGATATGTCCTTGGGGAGCTGGAAGGAGGAAAGGATAGAGACACAACCACCCTGCTGTGGACACAGACTTCATCTGCAGAATGAGAACAGAGACCCTCCTGCACAGAAAGGGACTAGCAGACGGGGAGAGGGGGAGTCTAGGCTCAAATGCCTCAAAGGTAGAAGCTGAGCCTATGAGAGGGTAAGGCAACCTGGGTCTGTGTCTTGATCCCCCTTGAACCAGGGGTTCATATAGGGCACAGTCTGGGATCTGGTTATCTCTGTGTTCCCAGAACCCAGGGCTATACCTATGGTTCCATGTATGATGGAGTAGATGAGACACAGAAAAACCAGAGTGGCCAAGAAGTATGCACAGAGCTCAGGGAGAACAAAATCCAAACCTGTCCACAACAGCACTCTCTACAGAATCATCTCAATACATTTGTTGAGCCTGCGATGGAGATGGAGACAGGAAAATGTGAGAAGCTGTTCATCATGGCATAGGCTGTCCCCAGAGTCCCAGGGACCAGCAGAACCACCACACTTAGGAAGGGCTTACCTTTTTGCAGGTGGATAATGTCAGGAAAGTTGGAGAGCAGGCCCTGGTAGAGAGACAGAGTGTCAAGCATTTGGAAGAGGTCATTCTTGGGCTGTTCAGCAAACATCTCACCAACAGTTTCATAGGTCCGGCCGGTGTGAGAAATGGCATTGTTGAGGGCCTCAGAGCTAAAGGGAGGATCCATCTGGAAGGCATGGCTAATGGCCTGGAAGGCACTTCCCAGCTTCTGGAATTCCTTGCGGAAGCCTCCCACATGCTTCCGCACCAGCTCTGATGCCACGGTGCTAAGCTGCAGGACGCTGTCATCCATCTTCTTACTGAAAGCCTTGAATGTATCCACACGGTCCTCTACATCCTGCAGATCCTGGTGCTCTGTGGGGATCTGAAAGGTGAGCAGAAAGCTAGCACCCACCATCTCATCCTTCTCTGCCCGGCGCTTACCCATCTTCCACTGCTTGTCATCTAGGCAGCTGAGGAAATGCTGGAAGCCCTCATACTGAGACAGCACTGGGTGACTCGTCATGTGGTCCATCCAGAGAATGAGTCGTCGCTTGCGCTTCTCAATGAAGTCCTCCTCGAAGCGGCCAGTGGCCTGCTTCTCAGGCAGATGGGGCACGGAGATGACAGTGAACTTGTGTAGAAGGCGGTTGTAGAGCCAATCAAAGTGTTTGTAGCGCCGGTAAACGGGTGAGCCAGCGTGGGTGGGTGTGAGCTTGTAGGAGATGTAACTTTTGATGCCTTTGAACTTGGTCTGCTTGGTGGGGTCCTCTACGGAGCAGGCAAATGGGTGGGGGTTGGCCTTCCATTGAGGGCCCCGAGGGCCCATCTCAATGGAGTATGTCTCAGCAATCTTGGCCATCATGGGTACGTCACCAAGGATGAAGGCCTCCACTCCAGAGCGCACGAAGCACGAGAAACGATTGAGGTTTCGTCCCACCACACTGCCCCGCTTGGCAGATGCCATACTGTCCTGCCTTTCCAAGGGTGCCTTGGGACGGAAAGCCATATGCTGACTGGGGTAGGCACCCGGGTAGGAGAGGTTGAGTGGAGGGTGCCCGTTGGTACCTAGGCCACCAGCCCTGGGCTCTTCTACCACTGTGCAGCCATCATCCCAGTCATCCCAGTCATCATCATCATCATCCTCAAAGCTTCCTTGGTTTGAGAGGAAGCCACTGCCCCCGCCACTCCTGGCTGGGTTGGCCATACTAGGGCTGTTATACAAACTCACTTGGGTACCCAGGGAGCTTGCGAGGTTGCTGGGGTAGTCCACGTGGTTGGTGCCGACGCCAGGACGGACAATCTCAACGTAAGAAGCCGGGAAGAGCCCTGTCTCCCCACGGCTGTTCTGCCCCTGCAGCCAGCCATCCAGTGAGGTCTCACTGAAGATAACCAGGTCTTCATCCTGCTGGATGCTGATTTCCTCTTTGTTCTCACTGTGGAAATCATAGAGGGCTCGGCCTTTCAGTGCCATGGTTAGGCTACCTGACAGGTCAAGACTGGAAGGAAAATGCCTTGCTTAGACCCAGGATGCTCAGCAGGGTGTCTAAAACTGCACTTGCAGCTCAAAGTCTAGTAAACCTTACTCAGACCCCCAGGCAAGGTCGCAGCATAAACAAGATGCTGCCTAGCTGCTTTCTCTTCAAAGAAATGTCCATGGTCCAGAAACTGACTTATCCAGCCTTGGGGTATCTGCCTGTAAGCAGGGAGGGGCTGGTCATGACCACAGTTTTTCTTCTCTCCCTTGGCAGCCCCTGAGAGGGAGGGAGTCTCTCCCTCCTCTCACATCAAGTAGAAAAGTCAAATAGCCTGAAGAAACCAGGTCTGCTAGAACAAGAATGCGACAGACATTTCCACTAGAACAATGTTGTACAACAGACAAGAATCAGCCCCGGACCACAATCCCAGGAACGCAGGCAAGTTTCTGCCTCCCCAGCTCCCAGCTCCGGCTTTGGGAGGCTCTCACATTCCTCTGAAGATCTATTCCTTCCTTCTTCCCCTCTCCTCCCGGGCCACCGCGTCTTCAAGAATCCAGAAAATCCAAGAGGGGCAAGGAGAATAACAGAGTCCTGAACCAATTCCAAGGGTGGATGTGTCCGGCCTCCAAACGAGCCAGGCCGGGAAAACAACAGCCAAAGCTTGCACAACCGGCAAGACCTAGGGGGTGCGACCCCTCCTCGCCCGCTCTGGTGCCCTTTTCCCGCCCTGCAAGTGGCTTAGCCCCTACCCCCAGAGAACAAGGGGGGCGACATGCCTCTCAGAGGTCTCTCTCTCTCTCTCTGTCTCTCTGTCTCTGTCTCTCTCTGTCTCTGTCTCTGTCTCTCTCTGTCTCTGTCTCTCTCTCTCTCTCTGTCTCTCTCTGTCTCTCTCTGTCTCTCTGTCTCTCTCTCTCTCTCTCTCTCTCTCTCTCTCTCTCTCTCTCTCTCTCTCTCTCTCTCTCTCTCTCTCTGTACTTCTTTTGTTTGCTTAATTCCTCAGCAGTTTCTCGGAGTACCTAAGCTGACCCTTATCGGAGTCCCAGAACCCCTGTCGAGAAGTAACACTAGTGAAACCTTCACCATCACCCGCCCCCCACCACTGGTGTGCCAGGAAACACTCAACAGTAGTTGGTAGATGGAGTTCCGTAGAATAGATGGCTCGACCGGCTGTTTGTCCGGCCGGCCGCCGGTTCTTTCTCCGCGATGCCCTGTGGATGCCGCCCGAGAGGGATGAGTTGAGTCCCAGTCTCTTAGAGCCTCTTTCCACCGCACTTGCTACCCCTAAGCGCTGCCAGCGGGAAGTCACGTCCAAAACAAAACAAAACAAAAATCCAAAAAAAGAAGAAAAAGGACTCCAGGAGGTGGCGTCCCGAAGAAGGAGGAGAAAGCAGTAGGGGAGGTGAGGGGTGGGGAGAGAGAGGGAGGGAGGTATGAGGGAGGAAAATCAGGCTAGGGAATTGAGCAAACTCCACAGCACTTCCGCGCGTCCTGGCGGAGCAAGGACCGCGCAGCTCCGCCCTCCCGAGGCCAGGGTGCCACCACCCGCTCTCTGTCCTCTTTCCTTCTGGCGGGCGCCCTCCCACTCTCAGGTTCAGTCCGGGTGGCTGGGATTCGGGAAGTACACCTGGGAGTCGGGGTGCTGCCAGCTTTCAGCAGCCGAGTTGCCGGTGCCGAGAGCCACCTCTCGCCCCGGTTGGAGCGCCGCGCTGTGGAGCTCGCCAGCCGCCGCGGGGCCTCGTCTCCTGGACTCGATCACCCGCTTGCCTTTTCCGTGACGCAATTGCAGGAAAACTCGGAAAGTTTGCCGAGCGCCGAGTGGCAAGGAGGGAGCTAAGGGCTAGGAGAACCGCGCCGGCTGCAGGGGAGCAGAGCTGTGGAGGACCCTTTCCCAGTCTCCTTACCCGTCTCGCTTGCTCCAATCAGTCTGGGGACTAGCACAGATATGGGATTGTTCTCAGAGGGGAAGGCAGCAAACTGTGCGACCCTGGTGTCCCACATGGGATACCGGATGCTGCGAGCCTGATTGGGCCAGGAGCACTCCAGCCCTAGGCAGCTTCCTTCTGTGGGAGTGGGGGTAGGGATGCAAGAGTAAACTTTTGCAGTGGCAAGGAATTTAGGCACAGGCGGGTTCTGGGTTGCCTTTTCCTTTCTTTCCAACTGGATTTTCCATTCAGGCCCTCAACACCAAGGAGAGGGCATAATCTGGTAGATAGCCTCTAGGCTTCCAGGATTTGACCCTCCAGTTTATGCAAAACGCGGTGAACGGATTAGGAGAGGAATTGTGCTAAACTCTGGAGCAAATAGCACAATGGTTGGATTCCTGCCGTGCCCCTCTGGTCTTTAATTCACCCAATCTGCCTCATTCATTAAATTGTATATTCCAAACAACAAGTTAACCGAGTACCGATAATTTGCCCAAACCTTGGAAAGACAACAAAGTAAGAAACTGTGCTTCTCTTCTGGAAGCTCATAAGCATCTTAACAGGTGGACAAGATGTTCCTGCCTAGTGTAGCCAGTGCTGTGGAAAATGCATGGGAGGGCACAGCCTGAGTGGAACACATACCAAGGACCTTCTCTTTTCCTCGGAGATGTCTGAGGTTACACAAAGATTTAGCCCAGACTCCTTTCCATTCTGAGCCCCGCCCCCTGGCTAGAGCTTCCCGCCTCCCATTCCTCGTCTTGCTTACTGCAAATTTACTAGTTTAAGTTAGTGCTGCTAAAATTGGGATCTTTGGCTGTTTTGAAGGATACGATTCCCAGACCTCTGGCTCCAAAACTCATTTTCATTGGTACAATCTGGATTTGACTCTCTATGAAGATTAATAAATAGCTGGTCCTAGTGACACACACGGGAGGCTGAGGCAGGATGGCCATCATAGTGAGTGTCAGGCCAGCCTGGGCCACAAAGCAAGATCTTATCAAAAGTTAAAAACAAACTGAGGCAGGAGCTGAAACAGAGCTACCATGAGTTGGAGTCTGGGCTACAGTGTAAAACCTTTTCTCAAACAAAACAACAAAAAACTAGCCGGGTGTGGTGGTAGACGCATTTATCCTAGAACTTGGGAGACAGGGGCAGGTAGGATGGGCCCATTCTTCTGAAAGCCTATCAACTGTGTTAACTAAACTCATACTGGGGCTTTACAGCAGTGTCTACAGCAGTGACTAGTACCCAGCAACCATTAAAGAAATAGTTGTTATTGTTAGCCTCAACTGGGAGAAAGGTCTGTGAACAGGTGATCATAGGAACAAGAAGATACTCTCAAGCAGGGAGGGGAATGCCTCCGGTGGAGGTGGGGAGATTTTACAAGTTTGAGGCCAGCCTGGTCTATCTAGGAAGTTCTAGGAAGGTCCAGTTAGGGCTACATACATAGCAGGACCCTTTCAAAACAAACAAAAGAGAGCAGCTGAGAGGTAATACAACTGAGTCTTTAAGGTCAAGGCTGTCCATATGTGTAGTCATACATTGTAATAACAAATAAAGCTTGCCTGAAGATCAGAATGCTAGCTCACCACACACAGAGTTAAGAGGTAAGCCACGGCTGGGCGTTAGTGGCACACACCTTCAACCCCAGCACCAGCCTGGTCTACAAAGAGTTCCAGGTCAGTCTTCAAAGCTACACAGAGAAACCCTGTCTCAAAAAAAAAAAAAAAAAAAAAAAAGGAGATAAGCCACTAGTTAGACATAGGGGACAGACAGGCAGTGCTGGCCAAACCTTTAATCCCAACACTCAGGAGACAGAGGCAAATGGACCTCTGTGGGTTCAAGGCCGCCCTGGGCTACATGAGAGTGAATCAGTCTAAAAGAAAAACAGAGCTCATACCTTTGATCCCAGCACTAGGGGGAATACAAGGCAGGAGCTCAGTGCAGTCTGAGGTTTGATGGAGAACATTGCAGTTAGCAGTCACTCCAAGGACAGGGTCACTCCCCTTTGGTCTCAGCCTCGGTAGAGGTAAGAACTCTCTAGCAGCTTGGCTGCTTTTCTTTTCTTTTCTCTCTTTTTTTTTTTTTTTTTTTTTTTTCGAGACAGGGTTTCTCTGTGGCTTTGGAGGATGTCCTGGAACTCGCTTGGTAGTCCAGGCTGGTCTCGAACTCACAGAGATCCGCCTGCCTCTGCCTCCTGAGTGCTGGGATTAAAGGCATGTGCCACCAACGCCCGGCTCTTTTTTTTTTTTTAATGACTAGTTATTTTTATTTCATGTACATTGGTTTGTCTGTATGAGGGTTTGGATCCCTTGGAACTGTGACTACAGACATGGGTGCTGGGAATTGAACCCAGGTCCTCTGGAAGAACAGTCAGTGTTCTTAACCACTGAGCCATCTCCCAGTCCCCTGCTTTGCTTTCCTGATCTTCAGCTTAAACCCCAATATCTGTCTCTAGGTTTTTATTATTCATGCTACAGTATGGCAGGGGACAAAGGTGCACACGGGGGGGGGTGTCAGGCACATGGGCTAACCTGGGCACTGAGTTTCCTAAGGAACAAGCCCAACTCTTGACCTACTGATGTGAAAATTCAGTTTTGTTTTACAGCTGTTTTCTCCTGAGTAATACAACCCAGATTCTAGAGTTTGTGCACTCTTCTTTCTTTTCCTTCTCGCCTTTCTTTTCCTTCCCTCCCTCCCTCCCTCCTTTGCTCCCTTCCCTTTCTCCCTTCTTTTCTTTTTGAAGCAGGGTCTCACTATGAGACAAAACAGAGCTGGGACTTGCAATGTTTTGTTCCAAGTGCTTGGGATGCAGGAATGTACCATAATACCCAGCTTTGTTTTTGTCTCAAGTGGTCCAGTCTGCCCCTCCAGTTTGTATATAATGAAGGCTCTGTAATCCGGGCACACCTTTTTGTAGTCCTTCTGCCTCAGTCTCCTGAGTAACTGTGACAACAGGCTTGCTTCCTATATTGTCTTTACTTTGCATCCAAACACTCCAGTCACACAGCCATCTTGGATTTATTGTATGCTCTTGGTATAGTTTTTCTGATTCTTATGGGCTACTCTCATTTCCAGACTCTTAGGAAAAACAAGTGTTTTGGCCTTCAGAGATTTTCAGAACCTCCTTCTACTCACTAAATCCCAGGGATCCTCTTCAGGTCTAAGGGTAACAGCCTCATGGTTACTAGTAAAGTGCACTAACCCTTAGGATTCCCTGCACTCTGCTCAAAGATTACAGATTCCAGCTAGTCCAGCCTCTGCCTTCCATACATCCTGAGATTACTGATGAATGAATGTAGCCTTTCTCAGCTGCAGGGTGGATCTGTCCTAAGCACTGAACCTTTTTTCTTTTGCTCAAGATTTATTTTATTGTTCTCCAGTTTACACTTTATCAAATTGATTTCCATATCCTCAAAACATCCTGAGGAAGGGACAATGCCAAGTGCAAATCCTCGCAAATAAGGAAGTGCTGCAGTTGTCCCCCAACCAAGTTTTGCACAGTTTCCCTTGGGAAACTCTCAGGCAAGATTCATACAGAGGGCAACAAAAGAAACAAGAAAGAAAAGATAACTAGTAAACAAAAGATGGATTAGGGCTTGGTACTAGCACTCTGGAGCCAGACCAGGTATAGCCCAGCAGGAATGCTGCCACACAATGGGATCTGAACTCTGGTCCTCAAAATTGAGCCACAAAGCTCTTGACTTGCCAAGCAAGTTCTCTGGCCCTCTTTCTTATTTTTCTTTTCTTTTTTTCTTTTTTTCTTTTTTTTTTTTTTTTTTTTTTTTTTGGTTTTATGAGACAGGGTTTCTCTGTATTGTTTTGGAGGCTATCGGTCCAGCCCGGCCTCGAACTCACAGAGATCTGCCTGCCTCTGCCTCCTGAGTGCTGGGATTAAGGGCATGCACCACAATGCTCTGTCCTTTCTTCCCTTTAATTGAGCATGTTATCTTTCCTACTAGGGCCCCTCCCTACTTAGGTTTGAGATGGGTTGCTGTTGTTTAGGAAGGCACACTGCTACTTTAGTAACACAGGAAGCAATAATGAGGGCCTGTAGGGGGACGAAGGCTGGGGCAAAGTAAACCTGGGGGGCCTTTTGGAGGCAGACTACACTAGAATGATGATCACATATTTGAAAATATTTTCTCAAAAGCTGGGCATGGTGGTGAATGCCTGTAATCCCAGAATCTGAGAGGCTGAGGCAGCAGTATCAACAGAGTTAAAATGACCAGGCTTGGTGCATGCGCCTTTACTCCTAGCACTCTGGAGGCTAGCCTGGTCTACAGATTGAGTTCAAGGCCAGACAGGACAATGGGGTGAGTAAGTGCCTGTCTCAAAACAAACAAACAGGAGTTTAAATGACAGAAATTAGCATGAGGCATGGGGAAGGAAGAGTAGGTCAGTTCAGCTGGCCTGATTGCCTCCTCTTAGTTTCAACCATATAGTCACATAGCAAGAATCCCTATAACCATTAAGTAGAGGTACCACCTAGAAAATAACAAAAACAAGAAGCAGAACTCCTCTGATATTTGCAGTCTCCAATTAAGGCATTCTCTGAACTGCTGCCCTAGGCTTTTACCCCACCTGAGAAAGTTTTATCTGTTCTCACCATTCTCTCCTTTGAAAACCTAAAATCATTTACAACAGACCAGGGATCAGAGCCCACAAACAATTTTGGTATTTCTTTGGCCTCCAGTCAGGATATTTTTGGCTCATGACTCAGGACATGCATTGAGGTCCTATCTCTAAATTGCCTGTCCCATTTTTATCTCCTAGTCTCATCATTCCTGCTTGAAAAGATGACTCTGAATGCCATTTAGGAAATTGGGACTTCTTTTTTTTTTTTTTTTTTTTTTTTTTGGTTTTTCGAGACAGGGTTTCTCTGTGGCTTTGGAGGCTGTCCTGGAACTTGCTCTGTAGACCAGGTTGGCCTCGAACTCACAGAGATCCGCCTGCCTCTGCCTCCCGAGTGAAATTGGGACTTTTTTATCATGCATATTTATTGTGTGTTTGTGTGTTCTTTTCCTCCAACATGGAACCCAGGTGGTCAGGCTTAGCATCTTTTTTTTTTTTTTTTTTTTTTGTTTGTTTGTTTGTTTTTCAAGACAGGGTTTCTCTGTGGCTTTGGAGGCTGTCCTGGAACTAGCTCTTGTAGACCAGGCTGGCCTCGAACTCACAGAGATCCACCTGCCTCTGCCTCCCAAGTGCTGGGATTAAAGGCGTGCGCCACAGGCTTAGCATCTTTATAAACCAAGTTATTTCTTTTCTTTTTTTTTTTTTTGGTTTTTCGAGACAGGGTTTCTCTGTGGCTTTGGATGCTGTCCTGGAACTCACTTTGTAGACCAGGCTGGCCTCGAACTCACAGAGATCCGCCTGCCTCTGCCTCCCGAGTGCTGGGATTAAAGGCGTGCGCCACCACCGCCCGGCCAACCAAGTTATTTCTTGATGCTGCCAATTCCCCTAAGACCTTTCTTTATTTAAACAGAGTCTCACTACGTAGCCCTGGCTAACCTAGAACTCACTATGTAGACCAGGTTAGCCCCAAACTAAGAAAGATCCACCTGCCTTTGCCTCCCAAGTGTTGGGATTAAAGGTGTAAGCCCTCACTACTTAAAAGCAAAACAAAAACATACACACACCAAAACAAAGACAGGGCTTCTCTATATAGGCCTCCCTGAAACTATATAGATCAAACTGGTCTTGAACTCACAGAGATGTGCCTGCACTTGTCTCCCCAGTGCTGGAATTAAAGGCATTCGGCACTATTTGGATTTTTAAGAGGTGTCTCCTATCTACCATCAACAAAATGGAATTTCTGATCTTTCCCATCCCCAGATCTGTTCTTTACTTGTATCTTCTTTCCCCATCTCATGTAATGCCGTATGTATACGTAGCAAAACTGTTGGGATAAAAAAATAAAATCACTCTTGACTCTTCTCATCCTTTTGTCATTCCTCTTTTACAAGCATTTCAGTACAGCTTTTCTGGCTTCAGTTACCTTCTTTCTGATCTGACCTGGATGGCTCCAATAGCCTCCTTATGGTTTCTGTGTGCAAGCACAGGCGCACACACACACACCATTGTTCTCAATATAGCAATCAAGATGATCCTTTTTTTTTTCAGATTAAAACTTCTGGGGGGCTGGAGAGATGGCTCAGAGGTTAAGAGCACTGACTGATCTTCTAGAGGTCCTGAGTTCAATTCCCAGCAACCACATGGTGGCTCACAACCATCCATAATGAGATCTGGCGCCCTCTTCTGACCTGGAGGCAGAACACTGTATACATAATAAATAAATCTTTAAAAAAAAAAAACTTCTGTATTACTTTTGTGTATGTCACAGCGTGTTATCTTGGAGGTCAGAAGACAACTTGTGAGACTCAGTTTCCTCCTTTCACCATGTGGATCCTAGGGACTAATCTCAGATCAGACTTCAATGTTTTGTTTTTGTTGCTGTTTTTCCTGGGACAGGGTTTTTCTGTGTAGCCCTGGCTGTCCTGGAACTCACTCTGTAGACCAGGTTGTCCTGGAACACACAGAGATCTGCCTGCCTCTGCCTCCCCAGTGTTAGGATTACAGGCAAAAGGTGAGCACCACCACTGCCTGGAACAACAATTGTTTTTAACTGCTAACCTGTCTTGCCTCAGCTCCCTTTAGAGTCTATAAAAAGCTTGAAATGTATTTCCTTGTTAAGGCTGGGATGAATGTAGATGGTGAAAGCTCAGCAGTTAAGAGTGTATACTAAGCCGGGCGTTGGTGGCGCACGCCTTTAATCCCAGCACTTGGGAGGCAGAGGCAGTCGGATCTCTGTGAGTTCGAGGCCAGGCTGGACCGACAGCCTCCAAAACAATACAGAGAAACCCTGTCTCATAAAACCAAAAAAAAAAAAAAAAAAAAAAAAGGAGTGTATGCTTAGCCAGGCGGTGGTGGCACACTAGAGGCAGAGGTAGGTGGAGCTCTCTGAGTTCAAGGCCAGCCTGGTCTATGTAGCCAGTTCCAGAACAGCCAGAGCTGTTACACAGAGAAACCCTGTCTCAAACAAACAGTGTATACAGCCTTGATGTACATGTATGTACCACATTTGTGCAGTGCCCTTTATTCCAAACCCTGAGGATGATAAAAAGGAAAGAAGGCAGTGAGTGTCTCTCTGGCTACAAAAATAGGGAACTGTTCTGTCAGTGGAACTTACTTCCCATGAATCATCTAGAAAGATATCAAATGGAGTCAATCCATTGCTGTTTAGCTGGTAGCAGGTAGCAAGTTCAGGGATTTGGAGAGAGAGAGAGAGAGAGAAGAGAGAAGGGGAAGGGAGAAGAGAAGAGAGACCAGGGAAGGGGCTGGCATAACCCCAATGAAACCCCTTTCAGGTTTCAGTACCAGAGGTGTTCTATCTGAGCAGATCTGGAAACAAGATCAGTACTCTTTGACCTCAACAGAAGCAGACTCTCCTTTGATAAAACACAACTGGGGAAAACAACCTCACTTTGGAAATGGGGATTGTGTGCCATGGTACCAGGAGCTTGAGGTTTGGTGGGATTTGAAGGGGGAAGGGCCTACCAGGGTGAGGTTCAGTAGAAATTTTTCTGACCTCAGTTCTGCTTCTGTGATTTCAGACAGGAACTGTGCTGGAAGATATCCTTGAGATTGGGGGGTTTCTGGACAAGAGTTTGCCAGACAATATATTTTCAATATATTGGGTGGGTATCATGAACCACTGAGGATTGCCGAAACACAAGCCTCTCCAGACTGACCAAAGTAACATGGAATCGCCTCTAAAATAAGAGCCGGGAGTAGTGAAACAAGCTAATTCCAGCTTTTGGGAGGTAGAGGTGATGGTCAACATAGAGTACCACCACAGCCAGAGTCACATAGAGAGACTCTGTTTCAATAAAACAAAATAAAGAATTGACGACCGTAGCAGCTCATACTCGTAAACTCAGCATTCTGGAAGACAGGTGGGTTGGATTACAGCGAATTCGTGCTACCTAGGAAGGCACACTGTCTCAAAAAAGTAAAAGTCAGATGTCAGGCTGTTTCTCATCCTGATTAGGTGAGTTTAGGAATCGGCTGGGAAACCGGCAGGCCATAGGTTTAGTGCTGCTCAGTACTGCTTGGGAAGGAGAATCCCTTTACCCAGTCGAGTGACAGACCTGTTGCTTACTGGGGTGGGACTATTCGCCAGCTCTAGACACCACTGGAGCGAAGAAATTCGCACAGTTCTAACTACATTTTTTTTTTCGAGACAGAGTTTCTCTGTGGCTTTGGAGGCTGTCCTGGAACTCACTCTGTAGACCAGGCTTGTCTCGAACTCACAGAGCTCCGCCTGCCTCTGCCTCCTGAGTGCTGGGATTAAAGGCGTGAGCCACCAACGCTCGGCTCTATCTTTTAGCGGTTACTCCTCTCTCCCGAAACTGAGGTCTGCAGTTCTGGAGGGGAACTCTCGTCAGGGTCACCAAAGAGAAACCTAACGTAAAATTACTGAACCACTATATGACTCCCCCTCGGGGGTTAACACGCTGGTGCAGTCTTCGCAGGACACGCCCTTCCAACCCGCTCGCCTCCCCCTACAGGAAGCTCCTAAGTCTGACCAATAAAAAACGGGGGCGTGGTCATAGCTTCCTTTCTATTGGCCCAGGGGTCTTCCGGCGGCGAGGCGGAAGTTGTGCTGCGTTCTCAGCGTGCTCTCCGTTTTCTCTGGCCGGCTCCATCATGGTGCGGAAGCTGAAGTTCCATGAGCAGAAGCTGCTGAAGCAGGTGGACTTCTTAAACTGGGAGGTCACGGACCACAACCTTCACGAGCTGCGCGTGCTGCGGCGGTACGGGCTCCAGCGGCGGGAGGAATACACGCGCTACAACCAGCTGAGCCGCGCGGTGCGCGAACTGGCGCGGCGCCTGCGCGACCTGCCCGAACGCGACCCTTTCCGAGTGCGCGCCTCGGCGGCGCTGTTGGACAAGCTGTACGCTCTCGGCCTGGTACCCACGCGCGGCTCACTAGAGCTCTGCGACTTGGTCACAGCCTCCTCCTTCTGCCGCCGCCGCCTGCCAACTTTGCTCCTCAAGCTGCGCATGGCTCAGCACCTTCAGGCTGCTGTGGCCTTTGTGGAGCAGGGTCACGTCCGCGTGGGCCCAGACGTGGTCACCGATCCCGCCTTTCTCGTCACTCGCAGCATGGAGGACTTTGTCACTTGGGTGGACTCGTCCAAGATCAAGCGGCACGTGCTGGAGTACAACGAGGAGCGCGATGACTTTGATCTGGATGCCTAGAGAGTCCTTTCTACCCGTGGCTTCCACAACCACAGGTCACTGAGCCCGGGATGGGGAAAATCGCCCCTGAGTTCCGGGACTTTTTAGAATTTGGACTGATAACTAAATGACTGTCTTGCGAGTCAGTGGGAAGCAGTTTTGTACTGCACTGGCGATTGTTAGGTTGTTGTCACTTTGTGGTGTAGAAACAGGGACGTTACCCCTTTTCTCCTTTGCTTTATCGTCTTGAACTAGGATTGACTGGTATAGATGGAGAATTTGGGTTTAGACGATTTTTGTTGTTTTGTTTTTATATGTAAAACTGGGCTACGGGAATGTTAAGTGTGACTCCCTCTTTTAAAGAAACATTTTCTTTATGCCAATAAATGTCCCGACCGTCTTATTAAGTGCAAGTTTTGTTTGGTCGACACTCTTATCTAGGTTTCTATCTGTTGACCTTGCTAGCTCATGAACCCTAAGAATCGGAATAGGATTGTAGACGTGAGGTCTGCCGCAGCCTCACGTGGAGGCTGCAGGATGTTGTACAAGCTGGGCAGATTTGTCACTTTACCAGTCCTTTTCTCGGAATGAATGTTTTGGCAGAGCTTTTATCCACAAGACTTCCTGTTGATATTCCAGCCCCAGGAAATACCATATTAAAGGCCTGGAGTGTTTGCTTGCCTAAGGAAATGATCACTCTGGCTTGGCCAGCTCGTGGTTAGAAGTGACCCAGGAGGTTCCTGAAAACAGATGTTCTTAGGAGTGGTAAAATGTGTGCTTAGTCTTATGTGCAAGATCATGGCTTCAGTGTTAAGAACTCCTACTCCAAAAAGAAGAGGCAAAAACGACAAAATAAAGTGATAGAATTGGCCAAGAGAGCATCAGGTTTTACCACAAACAAAATAGAATACAGAACCCAGCATATTAGGTTTTTGGGGGAGTGTTATTTTCAAATCTTTTTGACAGGTTTTGATATATAGCCCAGGCTGGTCTGGAATTTGGAGTGATCCTTCTGTCCCAGCCTTCCAGCCTTCCAGTGCTGAGATTACAGTGTGCCCTGATAAAGTTTGGGATTTGTGGAGTTTTTTTTTCCTTTTTTTTTCTTTTTTCTTTTGGTTGTTGTTTTTATTTCTTGGAAACAGTTTAACTGTGTATCCTTGGCTGTCCCAAGTGCTTGAATGAAAGTTGTGTGCCACCAGGCGGTGGTGGCGCATGCCTTTAATCCCAGCACTCGGGAGGCAGAGGCAGGCGGATCTCTGTGAGTTCGAGGCCGGGCTGGACCGATACGACAGCCTCCAAAACAATACAGAGAAACCCTGTCTTGTAAAAACCAAAAAAAAAAAAAAAAAAAAGAAAAAAGAAAGTTATGTGCCACCACCCCCCTGCAAGGTTTAGGTTTTATGTGCTTTCTCTACTTCACTAGGTGGAGGCATTAATGTGCCGGGCAAGATGGCCCAATGGGGAAAGGCACTTGCTGCTCAGCCTGACACCCTGAGTTAAATCCCAGGGCCCTCATGGTGGAAGGGAAGCGCTGACTCCTCCATGTTTGTGGTATGGTGTATGCGTTCACAGAAAATAAGCAAAGGTCAAAAGCCAGGAAAGACCCTGATAATGCTTCCAAATATTAGACCCCTTTTTGGGGGGGGCGGTTGAGACAGGGTTTCTCTGTGTAGCTTTGGAACCTGTCCTAGAACTAGCTGTGTAGACCAGGCTGACCTCCAGTTTCTGCCTCCTGAGTCCTGGGATTAAAGGTGTGTGCCACCACCTCCCGTCTTGATAATGGGAATCTTTTTTTTTTTTTTTTTGGAGGCAGGGTTTCTCTGTGGCTTTGGAGGCTGTCCTGGAACTCGCTTGGTAGTCCAGGCTGGTCTCGAACTTACAGAGATCCGCCTGCCTCTGCCTCCCGAGTGCTGGGATTAAAGGCGTGCGCCACCAACGCCCGGCGATAATGGGAATCTTGCATGATACCACTACACCAGTGATGCTATGTAGACCCAGTTTTAAGTAGGTAATATGTATTGACCTATTTAATCCTCTCAACAAGCCCACTTAAATAGGTGGACCCATTACTCTCTACTTTTCAGTTGAAAATGGAAGATGGGTCAGAATATTTAATTGCATGGTTAATGGATTAGGATACTCCCTTTTAAGAGACTGCCAGTGTCAGCACAGCCAGCCCTTAGAAGGTGTGTCAGTCTCAGCCTGACTTTCCAAGCCAGTAGCAACACTAGGCAATGGTTGCTCTCAACAGGATGCTATATAAAAAGGCATAGAGGCAGGTGGATCTCTGTGAGTTGGAGGCCAGCCTGGTCTACAGAGAGAGTTCCAGGACGGCCTCCAAAACAATACAGAGACCCTGTCTCGAAAAACCAAAAATAAATAAATAACTCCTTTTAAAATATATTTTTTAAAAAGAGGCAGAGCTGGTGTGATGTACATAAAGTATTTGGGGGGTAATGATAGGAGGAACACTCAAAAGTTTGGGTGGGGTCAGCCAAGATTACTCAGCCAGACTGTCTCAAAGGGCATGCACATGGCACATAGATATACATGCAAGCAAAGCACACATGACACATGAGAGAGAGATTGGTGTATTGGCACGTGCCTTTAAGTACAACCATCTGGGAAGTGGAGGATGGAAGATCAGGAATTTGAGCCCAGTCTGGTTTACATAAAACCATTTCAAAACAAAGTGGTAGAGAGAGGTGGTGGTAAGCTTCTGATCCCAGCCCTGGAGAGGCAGAGGCAAGATCAAGTGTCAACGAGACAAGCCTCTGGGGAGTGGTATAACAAAGTGATGATACTCAAGGTAAGACCTGGTAAGTAGTGTGAAGAAACAGAACTGGACTCAGGAGGCAGAGGCAGGCAGATCTCTTGAATCCCAGGCCAGCCTGGTCTACAAGAGAGGTCCAGGATAGCTAGGGCTACACATAGAGACCCTGTCTGGAAGCGTGTATACACACACACACACACACACACACACACACACACACACACACACACAATCACAATTAAAAAGCAGCCAGGCAGTTGGCACATGCCTTTAATCCTAGCACTTGGGGAAGTAGAGGCAGATGGACCTCTTGAGTTCAAGCCTAGCCTGGTTTACAGAGCAAGTTCCAAGACGGTTACATTGAGAAACCCCATTTCAACACACATACCCCTCACCACCCCCAAAAATTAGACAATGGCTGAAAGTGAGGACAGAAATGGCGCAGATTCTAGAAGCCTATTTTCTTCATCTCAGTTTGTCAGACTTACAACTACTCGTAATGCTAGCTCCAGGGGCATGAAATACCTCTAGCTTCTTCAGGCATCTTCACTTTCATATGTATACACAACACACAAAAACCATGTCCTGGGTTGACATACTTCAGTTAACAAGAACAGCTACAGAAGCAGATCTTCAGAAGCCAAAAAGCAAGGTTAATACATTTAAATTTTTCCACAATGATGGATTTTGATGAACTAGGTCTTTGTTTTTATTTTGGCTAGTGGTACCATGTGCTATTTTATAGCATGAATCGTATTTCCACCATGGAGTCAGTTGTGCTAAGGTCTGGTGGCCTGCTAAGCTAGGTTACCATGTTATATAACCATGGCATAGTGTTAGAGCTCAGCAGTTCAGAGCACTTGTTTTTCTTGCAGAGAACCGGGGTTTGGCTCTCAGCACCCATACTGTAGCTTATAAACATCTATATTTCCAGCTCCAAGGATTCAGTTCCTGCATCTGAACTCTGTGGGCAACAGCCGTGCAGATGGGACACATACATTCAGGCAAACACTCGTACACATAAAACAAGACAAAAAAATAGTTATGGCAGCTTGACTCAGAGGTGTTTATGGCATTTCCTAGCAGCAGTAGTGAATTCATTTATGTCTTTTTTTTTTTTATGCATGCTATACAAACACTGTACCACTAAGTTATAGCCTGTTCCTTGTACTTGTTTGTTTGCTTTTCCAGACAGGGTTTCTCTGTGTAACAGCCCTGGCCATCCTGGAACTCACTCTAGACAAGGCTGGCCTCAAACTCAAAAGATCCTCTCTAGTCCTAGGATTAAAGGCCTGAGCCACCACCACCTTTTTCCTTTTCCTTTTTTTTTTTTTTTTTTTAATTTTATAGGGTCTGTCCTGGAACTCATTGTTTCTACCAGCTGGTCTTGGGTTTACAGAGCTCCTCCTGCCTGTCCTGGGTACTGGGATGAAAGTGTACATCATCATGCCCAGTTCATAACTTTTTGGTTTTTGGAAGCTCACTACGTAGACCAGCCTGGCCTTGAACTCAAGAGATCCGCCTGCCTCTCTCTCCCAAGTGCTGAGATTAAAGGCCTGAGCCACCATACCCAGCTTAATTAATTAATTAATTAATTTTGGTTTTTCGAGACAGGGTTTCTCTATGGCTTTGGAGGCTGTCCTGGAACTAGCTCTTGTAGACCAGGCTGGCCTCGAACTCACAGAGATCCGCCTGCCTCTGCCTCCCAAGTGCTGGGATTAAAGGCGTGCGCCACCAACGCCCAGCCCCAGCTTAATTTAATTTCTGAAACTTGTCTATTTTGTCTAGGCCGATTTAGAATTCTGGAACCTAATCGGTGATCCAGCCTCCTAAGTAGCATGGACTACAAATGTGTGTTACCATCTTCAGTTCAAAAGTTGTTTTTTTAAGAAAGACATTATTATTATTTATATATGTGTACTTGCATATGAATGCAAGTGCCTTCAGAGGCCAGGAGCATTGGATGCCCCTGGAGCTGGTGTTACTGGGTGTTTGAGGCTACCTGATAATGGGTGCTTCATCCTCTGAAGACCAGTATATTCTCTAACCTGCTGTGCTAACTAGTTTTATGTCACCTTGACACAAGCTGGAGTTACTGGAGAGGAGGATCCTCAATTGAGAACATGCCTCCATTAGACTGGGCTGTAGGGAAGGACTTATATCTGCCCTTCTCTGCTGCTCCCTTCTTAGTCCTGGTTATGGTCATGTTTTTTGTCTTGGGACCTCTGATGTCTGACCTATTTTGGGTTCTGACAGTTCGCTTTTTCAGCATTCACTGACTCTGGGCTGCTGGCATTTTCTATTCTTCTCATTTTTACTTTTTGAGACACTATCTCCATCTGGGGTGATGGTGGCACACTCCTTTAATCCCAGCACTCAGGAGACAGGCAGGAAGATCTCTGTAATTCTCTGTTAAGTTCAGGGCCAGCCTGGTAAATTGCAGGACAGTTAAGCCTACGTGGTAAGACCATGTCTTTTTCTTTTTCTTTTTTTTTTTTTTTTTTTTTTTGATTTTTCAAAACAGGGTTTCTCTGTGTAGCCTTGACTACCCTGGAATTTACTCTATAGACCAGGCTGGCCTTGAACTCAGATCTGCCTGCCTCTGCCTCCCAACTACTGGAATTAAAGGCATGCACCATTCCTGGCTGGTATTTTCTTTTCTTTGATTACTAATCACTGTCCTAATTCTAAACCCTAAGGCTTAGAATGAAAGGCTTGGGATCATGAAAAGCAGGGATTCTGGTCTACCCCCAATCTGCTAAGGCAAATTCAAGTGCAGATATCTGAATTCTGAAAGAGCAGTGCATATGACTTTGATGGAAATCACTAACTTTATTATTATTATTATTATTATTTTTCAGGAGGCACTTATTGGGTCATCTCAGGCAGGCAGGTGATTTTAGTTTCCTTCAGTCTTCCTAATCCCCAAGTACAAAACTGGGTAGGTCAGGCTCACTTGAAATGCAAAGTATGGAATAGGGAAGGGAGTCTGGCTGTTGTGGTAGGCTCTAGACTACATATTACAGATTATCTTCCCAATTTTATATATGTCTATAGCAGGGTCTCAGACTTAGTAAGCCTTTGAGACCTTAGCACAACTGCCTCCATGATGGAAGTGTACCGTTCAGGCTGTAAAACTCAGCATGTGGACAGTACCACATAGCAAAACGAAAAGGCCGAATCTATCAAAGCCCATAGTTCTGGGTTAGTCTCTAATTGTACTAACCTTGCTTTTTGGCTTCTGTAGTTCTGCTTCTGGCCAACTGTTCTTGTCAACTGAAGTATTGTCAACCCAGAACATGATTTTTGTGCTTAAAAGCTCACTCTGAGAAAGGCTTGGGGCTGTACTGGGATCCCAAACACCCAGTGTACTCACTAATAAAGACTTTCTGTTGGCTTAAACCCATGTTGGGGCAGTCTACTCTAGTGAATACCCAACAGCAATGTCAGAGTTGAAGCGGAAGCCAGGTGTGGTAGCACACATCTGCAATCCAGGTTATTGGGTAGTGAAAGCAGGAGGGCTGCTGAGGATTTGAGGACAGCTTGGGCTGTACAAGCAGTCCTGGCCACAGAACCAGACCCATGTCGAAGTAAAAATAAAAAGGCTAAGGCTGGAGCCAGGCAGTGGTGGTGCTCAGGACCTCTGGAAGAGCAGCCAGCGCTCTTAACCTCTGAGCCATCTCTGCAGCCCCTTTCTTGTTTTTTTTTAAAGAGTGGGTCTCACCTGGTATGGTGGCACATGCTTGTAATCCCAGCACTTGGGAGGCAGAAGTGGGCAGATTGAGACCAGCCTCGTTTACATAGGTAAGTGCCAGGACTGTTACACAGAAACCCTGTCTCAAAAAAAAAAAAAAAAAAAAAAGTGTGTCTCATGTAGCCCAGGCTGGCCTCTAGATTGCTGTGCTGTGTAGTGGAGGATGAACCTAAACGTCCGATAGTCCTGCTTCCAGCTCTTGCTGCTGAGGTTACAGGGAGGTGCCACTACAAGTTACGTGGTCTTGGGGGTAGAGTGTGGGAGTTAAGGCATGCTAGGAAAACACCCTACTGAGCTACATCCCCAGGCGCAGACTCTTGTTCACTGAAGAGGAAATAAAGTAAAGCAACACATTTGGTTCATTGTAAGTATTCAGTAAGTAGCAAGTCGTGTTTTTATTTTACACGCTAGCAATCTTATCCTGCTTGTGGGTTATGATTAGGGACTCTGAATGCAAACTACCAAGAATCGAACCAGGTCCGTTCTGCACAGTGTTAAAAGGGAGAATGGGCAAAGGACGTTTATTATTTCGAAACTTGAAAACCATTCAAAAAACCGCACAGACGAGACAAAGGCAAGCTGTCGGCACAGCCCTAGTGCTTGGGAAGGTGACGGCCACGAAGTCACGGTTTTGAAGGTGAACGGAGCCGGGACAAGCTTGTGCTCAGGTGTGAAGCCTCCGCAATGCTCACCAGGTAGCCAGAGTCTGGAGAAAAGAAACCCAAGCCAAATCTAGACGGCCTCCTGGTCAATGTAACCAGCCCCGCCACTCAGGACGGAAGTAATATCCTGCCGCGACTCCCGCGATGCACCACGGTAGGCGGAACCGGAAGTTTCGTATGGCAATCATGAGGGGGCAGGCCCAGCTCCTCTCGGGCAGCTAATTGGTCAGTTCGTGGAGGCGGCGGTGGCGTGCGTGACTGGCACCTTGGTGCGGTAAGTCTCGAGTTTGCCCCGGTTTGCTTCTTCCAGCGTAGCTGTAGCTTCCCCCGACGGCCCGGGACTCCTGGTCTCCATTCGCTACCTGGAGAGGCCAGTCGATCTATAGTGTCGCGTTTGGCCATGTTTCTGCCGTTGTGTGCCGGGCAGTCTGACCAGGACTCGTGAGGAACATTATTGTATGGCCTGGCGAGCGAGAGACAGATGAACCCATCATCCATCACTAAGAGGAGACAGTCGGGGATAGCGACGGGGAGGACGGCAAAGTCTACGGCTGGGAAAGAGGCTTCGGTGGGCCTGACACTTGGGAGTTCGCTTCCTTCCTCAGCCTTGCTGCCGCTGTAGGCGTGTGCCATCCTCAGGTGTACCGTTAGGGACAGTTTCAGTGGCATATTACTGAGGATACCTAGCGGGGAGCTCAGTAATTATCCGGATACTCCCGGTTGTATTGCAGATACTTTGATACACACCTTAAACTCACACTGATAATAATGTCACTTAGCAAATTTTCTAAAAAAAAAAAAAAGCACCCTTACTGTATTAAGGATATTGGAATGTAGCTTGCTCCCCTCCCCCATCTCAAACCCAAGGCCTGGTGCGAATTTGGTGTATACTCGGCAGATATTCTACCAGCTGAGGTGTATTCCATTGCCTTTTCTTTGTGTTTATTTTCATGTGTAGGCGTTTTGCCTGCACGTCTGTGCACACATAGGTGCAGTGTTAGGGTAAAAACGAGGGCTCCAGTTACCTGGAGCTGCTCTACAGATGGTCATGAGCCACCATGGAGAACCCAGGTTCTGTGGAAGAGCAGCCAGTACTCAACCTAACAGCTGAGCCATCTCTCCAGTACCCTCCCACCCTACATCCTGACTCCCCCTCCAACCCTTTTTTTTTTTTTTTTTTCATTTTTTGAGACAGGGTTTCTCCGTGTAGCTTTGTAGACCAGGCTGGCCTCAAACTCACTGAGATCCGCCTGCCTTTGCCTCCCAAGTGCTGGGATCAAAAGCATGAGATCATTTCATTCTGTAGCTCAGGATGATTGGAACTTAGTGAAATTCTCCTGTCTCAACCTTCCAGGTTTTGGATAACAACGGGAAAACTACCACAACCAGTTAGAAAATTAATTTCGCAAGATGGAAACAGTTGATAACAATGTAAAGATACTTCCCACTGCAGAACTGTGTACTTAAATGCTTAAAATGGTGAATCCATGTGTATTAACATCCCAGCCTATCAAAACCGAACACTGACACTGAGTTACAAAGCCAGCTGCTTAGATAACATTGATTGACTGGAGTGAAGAACTTAGAATTGAACCTAGGAGCATTACACATACAATGGGAACATTTCTCTATTGAGCTATGATTCCAGGTACTCCTCTTTAAAAGATGTATTTATTTATTTATTATTTATGCACCTAATTAGGTGTAAGTACACCATGTGCTTGCCTGGAGAGGCTAGAAGAGGGTGTCAAATTCATTGTGAGCCAGTGTATTGGTGCTAGGAATGGAGGCCAATTCTTCTGCAGGAATGTCAAGTGCTCCTAACCCTGAGATATCTCTACAGCCCATTTGTGAGGCAAGGTCTCAATAGGCCCGTCCTTGTTTAGCATTCCCTGTGGATTTGAGGCAGTCCTTGAACTGTTGCTCCTCCTTTCCTGCCTTCTTCCCCTAGTGCTGGGATTTTTAGAGCCTGCTCCCCTCTGGTTTTCTCTTCTTTCCTCTTCTTTCTTTTTCCAAAGATAGGGTTTTACCAGGATACCCAGGCTGGTTGTGAGCCTATTCCATAGCCTAGCCAGGCCTTTAACTTGACATCCTCCTCCCTTACCCTGTGGAATAGCTGAGGTTATTTGTTTTTTGGTTTGGAATAGGACTTCCTTAATGTGTTCCTGGCTGGCTGGGAACTCACTGTGTAGACCAGCCTGGCCTTGAATGTGGGTGCGGTGGTTATAGATGTGCACTTCTGCGCCTGGTGACCACATCTTAATCATTTATGTTTTATTCACTTGTTAATTTTATTTATTTATTTATTTTGGTTTTTCGAGATAGGGTTTCTCTGTGGCTCTGGAGGCTATCCTGGAACTAGCTCTTGTAGACCAGGCTGGTCTTGAACTCACAGAGATCCGCCTGCCTCTTGTTATTAACAACCAAAGAATTAGGTGTCATTGTGACATATTCAGACAAAATTTGTTTTTGTTGTTCTTTTGGTTTTTGTTTGTTTGTTTGTTTTTTTCGAGACAGGGTTTCTCTGTATTGTTTTGGAGTCTGTCCTGGAACTCTCGCTGTAGACCAGCTTGGCTTCAAACTCAGAGATCTACTTGCCTCTGCCTCTCCAGTGCTGGGATTAAAGGCGTATGCCACCAACACCCGGCAAAAATCTGTTTTTGTTGTTTCTCTTCCTGCCTTTCTCCCCGTCTTCTTTCTGTACTCATGACATATATGTTCTTTTGCTTGTTTTCTCCCCCTTTAAAAATATTTTTTTATTTCCCATTCCCTGTGTATGAATGTTTTGCCCTCAGAGGCCAGAAGAGGGCATTAGATCCCTGGAAGTGGAGTTACAGATGTCTGTGAGTTGCCATGTGGATGCTAGGAACTGAATTTAGGTCCTTTAGAAGAACAGCCAGTTTTTGTTTTTTTGTTAGTTAATTTTTATTTTTTGAGACAGGGTCTGTCTATCTTAAAACTCACTTTGTAGACTGGACTGTCTTTGAATTCACAGAGATTCACCCGCTTTTTTTTTTTTTTTTTTTTCCAAGGCAGGGTTTCTCTGTATTGTTTGGAGGCTGTCTTGGAACTTGATCTGTAGACCAGGCTGACCTCGAATTCACAGAGATCTGTCTGCCTGCGTCTGCCTCCCAAGTGCTGGGATTAGAGGCGTGTGCCACCAATGCCTGGCTGATTCACCCGCTTTTGCCTCCCAAATGCTGGGACCAAAGGTATGCACCACCATGCTCCACATGCTGCCAGTACTCTTAACTACTGAACCATTTTTGTAGCCTCCTCCCGAACACCTTTTTCAGTACATCTTGTGAACTCTTGTGAACTCTTGCCTAGTTCAATTACCTATACCCCTCTCCATACCCTTTTATTTACTTATATAAAAACATTAAATGTTAGGTTTCACACATGAGAGAAAACATGCAAACTTTATATTTCTAAGCCCTCATTGCCTCACTTAAAATTATACTTTACAGATGCATCTGTTTTCCTTCAGATTTCTGCCTTTATAACTGAGTATGTATGCCAAACCCTCCCTCCCCCCTCTTCCTCTTTCTTTCTATTTTGAGACGTGGTCTCTTGTTAGCCCTGGCTGAACTAAAACTCACAAGAGATCTGTCTCCTAAATGCTGGGCTTAAAGATGTGCCACACCTGGTTGTTTGTATGACATATTTTCATTATCTCTTCTGTTGACTATCTAAACTAGGTCCATTCCTTGCTATTGTGTCTAATGCAGCAATAAAACATGGGTGTACATGTTTCTCTGTGGTAGGGCATAGTCCTTTGGGTATGTACGAAGGAGTAGTGTCTCAGTTAGCTTTTTATTTCAATGATAAAATATTATGACCAGAAGCAATTTAAGGAGAAAAAAAAGAGTTTACAATTCCAGTCTATCACTGAGGAAGTCAGGGCAAGAGCTCAAACAGGGCAGAAACCTGGAGGCACAAACTGATGCAGAGGCCACGGAGGAAGTTTCCTTATTGGCTTGCTCTTCATGTCTTACATAGCCTGCTTGTTTCATGTCTTACATAGCCTGCTTGCTTCTTTCCGCCCCCTCCAAACAGGGTTTCTCTGTGTAGCCCTGACTGTCCTGGATCTGCAGATTAGGCTGGCCTTGAATTTACAGAGATCTGCCTGCCTCTGCCCCCCACCCCCAGTGCTGGGATGAAAGTCATGTGCCACCACTGTCTGGCTTCAGCCTGCTTTTTTTCTTTTTTCTTTTTTTTCATTTGAGTATTTTTTTTTAAGATTTATTTATTTAGTATACAGTGTTCTGACTGCATGTGTCCCTGCAGGCAGTCCAGAAGAGGGCACCAGATCTCATTACAGATGGTTGTGAGCCATCATGTGGTTGCTGGGAATTGAACTCAGGACCTCTGTAAGAGCAGACAGTGTTCTTAACCACTGAACCATCTCTCCAGAATGGGACATTTTCTTTATTGAGGTCCTTTGTTCCAAAATGACTCTAGCTTTTGTCATAGTTGACATAAAATTAGCCAGTACAAATGGTATTCCTGGGTCATACTGAAGTTCTATTTTTAACTTTTTTAGAAACATCCCTAGTTGGGCTGGAGAGATGGCTCAGAGGTTTGTTATTGAGTGATGGATCTTTAGAACTATTTAGGAAAAAGTTAAGATACTTAGTCTCATAACTGGTTGTCAGAGGTGGCTCGTTGTGATGAAAAACAGAAAAAAGTCAATCAAAGAGAGACTTTATAATGATTGGTGTTTAGGTTTATTCCGTTGGCTCTTAACATTATTGAAGTACTAGTAGAAAATAACATTATTATTACTAATATATAATTCATTTATCATTATATATAACTAATATATAACTCTCTCCATAGAAATAACTAATTTTGGTTAAGTGAGTTTTTTCTTTTTTTTTTTTTGGTTTTTCGAGACAGGGTTTCTCTGTGGCTTTGGAGGCTGTCCTGGAACTCACTTGGTAGTCCAGGCTGGTCTCGAACTCACAGAGATCCGCCTGCCTCTGCCTCCCGAGTGCTGGGATTAAAGGCATGCGCCACCAACGCCTGGCTTGAGTTTTTTCTTTTAAATAGCATCATAACTGCCTTATCATCATGGGATGAAGTAAATTAATAAACCATTTTTTTATGTTTTTCTTTATAGAGAAGATGGAAGAACTGAGTCAAGCCCTAGCTGGTAGCTTTTCTGTGTCTCAAGAACTGAATAGCACAGCTGCCCCACACCCTCGCCTATCCCAGTACAAGTCCAAGTACTGTTCCTTGGAACAAAGTGAGCGGCGCCGCCAGTTGCTAGAACTACAGAAATCGTAAGGGTGCTTTATTTAACTCCTTGGCTTCTTTATGCTAGAAGCTGTAGATCATTCATAGGCTTTTAGACTTGTCTCCATAGATCTCCCTTCACAGAAGAACATTATTTCCTGTCCACAATATTGGGTGGGTAAACTCTGTCACAGGTAATTATCTTTTGTCCATACATTTTAGGAAAATAAAAAGGAAGGAAAAACTGAACTTTTGAAGCAAGAGCTCAGATATTTGGTTAAATTTTTCTATTTTTTCCTGGCAATATTATTGAACTTTTCAATTCAGACTTCCCCTCCCTGCATTCCCGATTGCTTATGTGTGGCTTCTCACTCACTATGATGATGGGCTTCACATCTCCCTTTGGCCCAAATGTTTTTGTAGTGTCCTTGGGAATTCAAGTTAATTCTGCAGAGAATCCGTGGAAATGTTTTCTGTACACTTAATCCTAAATGCCAAAATGAACAAACAGGAAAAGATCAAGATAGGTGTGTTTTAGGCTGCCCTCTCTACAGTCAAGGCCTGTCCTTTTGTTCTCAGTGCATCTTCGGCCTCTTTAGAGGCAGAAACTAAGGAACCGGGAATTAGAAGAAACTAGCCACAGCTGTGCCATTTGCATAGCGTTTGTGTTTTGCACAGTACCATGTCAGTGGATGAGGTTTTTTTTTTTTTTTCTTTTTTTTTTGGTTTTTTTTTTTTTCGAGACAGGGTTTCTCTGTGGCTTTGGAGGCTCTCCTGGAACTCGGGCTGGCCTCGAACTCACAGAGATCTGCCTGCCTCTGCCTCCCGAGTGCTGGGATTAAAGGCTCGTGCCACCAACGCCCAGCGTCAGTGGATGAGTTTAACACAGACAGTTCCTGATTAGTTCTGAGTTGTTTGCTGATTCTCCTTTCCTTCCCTGTTTTCTTTCTTTCCCTTCCTTCCTTCCTTCCTTCCTTCCTTCCTTCCTTCCTTCCTTCCTTCCTTCCTTCCATTTTTGTTTTTTGAGACAGGGTTTCTCCGAGTAGCCCTGGCTGTCCTTGAACTTGCTCTGTAGACCAGGCTGGCCTCAAATTCACAGAGATCCACCTGCCTCTGCTTCCTGAGTGCTGGGATTAAAGGCGTGCACCATCACAACCCAGCTTAATTTATTATTTTCAAGTAAGTTACACATTCATATGGCACTCAATACATGGATATAGTGGTTTGAAAGAAAATGACCCCCAGAAGAAGTGGCACTATTAGGGTTAGGTGTGGTCTTGGAAGAAGTGTGTCACTGTGGAGGCAGGTTTTTAGGTCTCATATGCTCATGCCAGGTTCAGTGAGACATCACTTTCGGCTTCCTGCACAAGATATAGCACTCTTAGCTACCTCTCCAGCATCATGTCAGTCTGTATGCCATCATGTCCTGTCCTGATGATAATGGACTAAACCACTGAACTTTAAGCCAACTAGTTAAATGTTTTCCTTTACAAGAGTTGCTGTGGTCATGGTATCTCTTCACAGCAATAGGAACCTATCTTGCTGGGCAATAGTGGCACATGCCTTTAATTACTCAGAAGACAGAGTTTGAGGCCAGCTGGGCCTACAGAGCGAGTTCCAGGACAGGCTCCAAAGTTACAGAGAAACTTGTCTCCAAAAACAAAACAAAACAAAACAAAAAGAAACCCTATGTTTTGCAGAGCTAGAAATTGAGCCTGGGGCTCTGTGCATGCCAGTCAAGTACTCTGTCAACTAAGCTAAATTCATTGTCCTACACCTGATCTTTGTTTGACACAGGGTCTCATTGTGTGGCTCAGGCTGGTATTAAACTTGTGGCCTTCTTACCTTAGCTTCCTGAGTATCAGTATTATAGGCTTATGACACTGCCTAGCTTCTGAGCTTTTAAAAAACCAATTCAGAGCCAGGTGGTAGTGGCACATGTCTTTAATCCCAGCACTCAGGAGGCAGAGGCAGAGGCAGGTGGATTTCTGTGAGTTTGAGGCCGGCCTGGTCTACAGAGTGAGGTCCAGGATAAGCTGCAAAGCTACATAGAAAAACCCTGTCTCAAAACACCAAACAAACAAAACAGCCAATTCAGGCCAATTAAATGTCTCAGTTGGTAAAGATGCCTGCTGCCTGACCTGTTCATCTGAGTTTTATCCCTAGGACCCACATTTTAGGTCCTTACAGGTTATCCTCTGACTCGCATGCATGCATGCGCATGCTGCACACACACACACACACACACAAGTTATCCACACGTAACAAATAGCTAAAATGTAGTAATTTAATAATATTCTGGTTGCAGTTTATTTTGCCTATTATATCTGCATGTTAGCTTAATAGTGTTTTGTTGTTCCTGTCTTTTTTATTCTTTTATTTATTTGAGATCAAGTCTCGCTGGGCAGTGGTGGCGCACGCCTTTAATCCCAGCACTCGGGAGGCAGAGGCAGGTGAATCTCTGTGAGTTCAAGGCCAGGTTGGACTGATAGCCTCCAAAACAATACAGAGAAACCCTGTCTCGTAAAAACCAAAAAAAAAAAAAAAAAGAGAGAGAGAGAGATCAAGTCTCAGGACTTGAGAAAAGACTCAAGTGAGTAAAGAGACCTCAGTTTAGATTACCAACACCCAAATAAAACATGGCTGTGGCAGTGAGTGTCTGTAACTTAAGTGCTGTGTAGGGCAGAGATAGGTGGTCTCTGGTCTACTAGTCTAGCTGAAACAGCAATCTCTAAATGAGACACTCTGTTTAAAAAAAAAATGAAAAAGAAAAAAATAGACAGCTGGGCATGGTGGTGCACGCCTTTAATCTTAGCACTTAGGAGGCAGAGGCAGGTGGATCTCTGAGTTTGAGGCCAGCCTAGTCTACAAATAGTTTCAGATCAGTCAGAGCTGTTACACAGAAAAATCTTGTCCTGAAAAACTAAAAGAAAAGGAAAGAAAGAAAGGAAGAAAGAAAGGAAGAAAGAAAGAAAGAAAGAAAGAAAGAAAGAAAGAAGGAAGGAAGGAAAGAAAAGATGGAGATAGACTCCTGATGTTAGCCTTTGGCCTACATACACTCACTTTCATGCATTTGCACACATGTGTGCACATACACACATACTTTTTTTAAAGCCTAGGCTGGCTTTAAAATTACTATCTATCGCTGGGTGTTGGTGGCATACACCTTTAATCCCAGCACTCGGGAGGCAGAGGCAAGTGAATCTCTGTGAGTTCGAGGCCAGCCTGGTCTATAGAGCGATTTCCAGGAAAGTCTCCAAAACAATACAGAGAAACCCAGTGGGGGAAAAAAATTACCATGTACCCTTCATACTGGGATTACAAGTATGCTCTACCATGCCTATTTGATGCAGAGCTGGAGATCAAACATAGCGCCTCTTGCATGCTAGGCAAGCACTCTACTAGCTAGCTGATCTATGTCCCCAGATACATCATTTCTTTTTTATGGTGCCGGGTAGTTCATTAAATGGATGGTTCATAATATAGCCTAAGCAGTCCCCAGCACATGGGTAGTTTCCATCTTATACAATGATAAATAGTGATGGGCAGTAACTACAGCATATATTCTTCTGCGTGTGTGTGTGTGTGTGTGTGTGTGTGTGTGTGTCTGTGTCTGTGTCTGTGTGTCTGTGTGTCTGTGTTCGTTCATTCTTTAAATAGAAAGCCATTGTGCTTTCATATATCCTCGCTAGTATGCAATTTTGTGGGAATATATATGAGCATGTACTTTTAAGAAAAAAGCTAGAGGTGGGCATAATAGTGTACACTTTTAATAACAGTACTCAGGAAACAAAGGCAGGACTATCTCTCTGAGTACAGGATCAGATTGGTCTGTATAGTGAGCTCCAGGCTAGTACATATTAAGACCCTGTCCTAATTAAAAAATCAAATAATAAAAAAAAAAGAAGAAACAAAGTGAGCTGGCAAGATTGCTTTACAGGTGATTACTGCCAAGCCTGAGGACTGATTTCAATCTCTGGTACCCATATGGAGGAAGCAGAGAACCGACTCCTGCAAGTTGTCTTCTTCCACACACATGCTGTGCCATATCTATGCCCACACATGTACTTAAGAAAAAAAGATGAAGAAACCATGTAGGTGTTAGTGTCTGATTTCTTGCCTTAGCTTTGTCGAAGTTGTAAGATATATGATATTCCAAATTAATCTGTAGCAATTAGGCTCTACCTTATCCCTTCATTTCCAATTTATTAGAATATGCTGTTTTTAATAAATAAATAAATGTAAGCTGGATGTTGGTGGCACACACCTTTAATCCCAGCACTCAGGAGGCAGTCCTGGAACCAACTCTTGTAGACCAGGCTGGTCTTGAACTCACAGAGATCCTCCTGCCTCTGCCTCCCGAGTGCTGGGGTTAAAGGTGTGCACCACCAACGTCTGTTGCAGTCCCTACTTTGAGCATTTTTTTTTTTTTTTGGAGACAGGGTTTCTCTGTGGCTTTGGAGGCTGTCCTGGAACTCACTCGGTAGACCAGGCTGGTCTCAAACTCACATAGATCCGCCTGTCTCTGTCTCCTGAGTGCTGGAATTAAAGGCGTGCTTCACCAATGCCTGGCTTACTTTGAACATTCTTAAGAAACCAAGGAATGCAGAATGTGTTCAGAGGGAGTTCCCTGATTATGAACTATAAGGAGACAAGTTTAAACTTGCAAAGCAAATTTCATGATCTCTTACTCCCCCTAGAATCCTCTAGTTGCTTCTAAATTTGTCATCCTTGAATTGAATGACATCTGTACATTTTGAGACATCTTTGTATAGTATGTGTATACCTGACCTTCTCTTCTTCTTCTCCTTCAGCAAGCGGTTGGATTATGTGAACCATGCCAGAAGACTGGCTGAAGATGACTGGACAGGGATGGAGAGTGGGGAAGAAGATAAGAAAGATGAAGAAGAAATGGACATTGACCCTGGCAAGAAGCTACCAAAACGCTATGCTAATCAAGTGAGTGGTCCAGAGTTTTGCACCCTCCACATGCAGTCAAAACCCACCAAAATAAATGCTGCTATAAAAAGAGGACAGGCAAAGCTAATAAATTGGAATTGCTAGTGTATTTATAGAGAGAATGGATGGTAGCAGAGCTGATTTATAGTTCTGCTGACTGACCAGAAGCACTGATGAAGCTGAATATAGTGGTACACACCTTTAATCCAGCACTTGGGAGGCAGAGGCAGGTGGATTTCTATGAGTTGAAGGCCAGCCTGATGTACATAGTGAGTGAGTTCCAGGACAGTCAGGGATATATAGAAAAACTGTCTCAAAACAAAAACAAAAACAAAATCACTGATGAAGTCTGTGGATAGTGACTTGGAGTTACTAGCCCATCTAGCCCACACTGTTAACCAGAGGCTACCAGATCATAAAGAAAGCTCCCAAGTTATTATTCCAGTAACAGATACCATGTCCTCATCATCCTCATTCTTTTGGGCAGGGAATATAACTCAGGGTTTATATATGCTAGGAAAATGTTTTGTTATTATTGAACTGGAACCCCAGACTCCTTGTCATCTTTTTTTTTTTTTTTTTTTTTTGAGATAATGTCTTTCTGTGTAGTGCTGGCTGGCCTAGAATTACCAGGCTGGTCTTGAATTTGCAGTACTCCCCTCTTTTGCTGTAATTATAGGCATGCACTATCATTCCTGGCCTTTTTTTTTTTTTCTTTTCCTTTTCCTTTTTTTTTTTTTTAGTTTTTGTTTTGTTGTATTTTGTTTTTGTTTTGATGAATAATCATTACATGGTTGGTTTGTATGGAGCCTACTGGCTATCCCAGTATCCTCATCCTTCTTTGGTGAGTAGTCTGTTCCAGTTAGAGTATTAGGAGGCCACTCTTGGTATTGTATACTGAGGTGGTGGCGGGCAGGAGGAAGTACATCTGACCTTAAAGAGATCCTGCACAGGACATCCAGTTTACCAAGGTAATGTTGAACTATGAAACAACCAATCACTTTGCCACACTCAACAAAATGCTCTATTATGGCTGGTGGTGCTACAGGAGAAACAGGAAAGACACTGTCCCAGGAAGTCCTAGTGTTCCAGAAGAAGAAAGGGTGTAGGTCTGAGTTAAAGCAGGGGTCTTCTCTGCTGTGGTATACTACTTTGTAGAATCCTCTTGCCTTTACAATACACTTCTTGGGAATACCCATCCACCTGTTTCTCTGCCCCAAATACATACATATAATACCTTCTGTGACAAATGTACTTCAATTTTTGTTTATTTGCAACAAGGTTTGGCTATGTAGCTCAAGCTGGCTTTGAACTCATGATTCTTCTGCCTCATACAATTCAGTTCTGTTGAGGAAAAATGAAAAACATGATAGACATAACCATAAATAGCCCTTAAACTCTTATTTTCATTTTTTTTTTTAATTTTTTTGTTTTTTGAGACAAGGATTCTCTGTGTAGCCCTGGGTGTCCTGGAACTTGCTCTGTAGACCAGACTGGCCTTGAACTCAGAGATACACTTGCCTCTGCCTCCTGAGTGCTGGGTTTAACGGTGTACCCCTCCACTGCCCAGTGCCCTTATACTCTTAGAGTAATTATAGAATATATCTTTTGCTATAAGAAAATAAAAATCTTGATCCAGGTCTGGTAGCAATTATCTGTAAATTCTAATATTTAGTTAAGAGGTTAAGGCCTTAGCCAAGGATTGTGAGAGGTTGAAAGCTAGCCTAGGCTATATAATAAATCCCAGATCAGCCTGATCTACAATATGAAATTTAAATTCAAGAGAGAGACAGAGAGAAAGAATACCACAATTCTGTTTTTTTAGCATAGTCATAGGTATGGGCAACTATCAGCATTACTCAATTCTAGGACATTATCTTTCTGTTTTGAAATATTTTTATTTTCTGTATTTATTTGTTTATAATTTCATATGTATATATAATGCATTCTTCTTACTCACCCATCACCCTTTGTTTATATCTCCCCTCCTCCCTACAAATTTTATCCCAGATTTATGTCTTTTTGTTTTGTGGCCTGCTGCATTTAACCAGGGTCATCCCTGTGTCTATACTTGGAATGATACATTAGAGCTTGATGGACTCACTAGTGGTTATGTATCTAAGACATTGATTCCCCCCTCTTAGCATCTATCCATATCCTCTAGTATTTGCACAAATGGGCACATCATTCCTGGCAGGTTGGTGTTGTAGGTGTAAGGGAAAAATGAAGAATTTTGGGTTTGGTAGAAGAAGAAACTGAGACCCTTCAGAAATAAGCCTTATTAGCAAAGAGTGTTGTAGGTGTAAGGGAAAAATGAAGAATTTTGGGTTTGGTAGAAGAAGAAACTGAGACCCTTCAGAAATAAGCCTTATTAGCAAAGAGAGACCAGAGACTCTGGGGGCTATGATTGGACCTCGAGGTAAACCATCAAAAAGACAGTCTGTCATCATCAGAGGCAGCATGATAGGGCCTTAAAGGAAAAGAGAGGCTTCCCTTTAAAACCTAGAATGGAAGCCAGGCAGTGGTGGCTCACGCCTTTAATCCCAGCACTCGAGAGGCAGAGGCAGGCGGATCTCTGTGAGTTCAAGACCAACGTGGTCTGCAAGAGCTAGTTCCAGGACAGCCTCCAAAGCCACAGAGAAACCCTGTCTCAAAAAACCAAAACCAAAAACCTGAATGGAGACGGATATGTAGTGCGCTCATTTGATCCCAGTATTTGGGAAGCAGAGGCAGGCAGACCCTCAAAGCCAGTTGCACACGCCTTTAATACCAGCACTCAGGAGGTAGAGACAGGCAGATCTCTGTGAAGTTCAAGGCCAGCTTGGTCTACAGAACAAGTTCCAGGATAGGCTCCAAAGCTACAGAGAAACCCTATCTTGAAAAAGGAAGGAGAGAGGAAAAAAGGAAGGGAGGAAGGAAGGAAGGAAGGAAGGAAGGAAGGAAGGAAGGAAGAAAGGAAGGAAAAAAGAAAAAAGACAAATAACTGAAAGCATCTGAGCAAGCCATGAAGAGCAGCATCCTCCATGGCCTCTGCATCAGTTTCTGCCTCCAGGTTCTTGCTGTGCTTTGGGTTCCTGCCCTGACTTAATGGAATTGCAATTAAAAAAAAAAAAACCAAAACTCTTTTTTTCCCAAGTTGCTTTTGGTCACAGTATTTTATCACAGCAATAGAAATTATAACCAAGAAGTGTGTAAAGATGCATCTGCCATGGGATGTGTGTAAAACAAGGAAAACCCATGGGAGTCAGTTTTAACTCTCTACCATGTGATTCCCTGATATTGAATTCAGGTTATCAGGCTTGGTCCTACTGAATTATCTTGCTAACCCATAGTGTTGTGTGTGTGTGTGTGTGTGTGTGTGTGTGTGTAGGCACACACGCATATGTTTATGTTTATAAAGCTATCTGATTTTTTACTATCTTTATTTTTTTTTTTATTTTTTTGGTTTTTCGAGACAGGGTTTCTCTGTGGCTTTGGAGGCTGTCCTGGAACTCGCTCTGTAGACCAGGCTGGCCTCGAACTCACAGAGATCCGCCTGCCTCTGCCTCCCAAGTGCTGGGATTAAAGGCGTGCGCCACCAACGCCCGGCTGATTTTTTACTATCTTATTATTTATTTTATTTTATGTACACCAGTATTTTGCCTACATGAATGCATGTGTACCTGTGGAGGTCAAAAGAGGGTGTCAGATTCCCTGAAACTGGAGTTAGGGATCATTATGAGCCACTGTATGGGTGCTGGAAAGTGAACCTGAGTGTTCTGCAAGAGCAATAAGTATTCTTAACTGTTGAGCCATCTCTGCAGCCCTCATAAAAGATATTTTTAACATGGACTTCCTTATAGGAGTTAACAGAAAGAGAGGAACTAAAGGAAAGGGTATGGTACACCAAGAGTCTAGATGTGGACTGCTCAAAACAGAGGTGCCCTTCATTTCCTTTATGATAGTCAGAATAGGATTTTGATGTTGTCTTGAAAAATTGCTAGGAGGAGCTAGAGAGATGGCTCAGTGGTTAAGAGCACTAGCTGCTCTTCCAGAGGACCTGAATTCAATTCCTAGCACACTCATGATGGTTCACAACAGTTTGTGACTTCAGTCTGAGGGATTTGATACCCTTTTCTAACCTCCTTGAGCACCAGGCATGCATGTGGAGTCCAGACATACATGCAGATAAATGCCCATATACCTAAAGTAGAGTTTTAAAAAGTTGCCAGGAAATTTAAATGAGATCACAGGGTAATTCCTAAGGCATATAGAACAGGATTATACTTTGTAAACAGAACTGTAGATCACAGGGATACAGGAAGTTAGGATATTGTCACTGTAAATAAAGCTTAATAGTCTTGTTTGTAAGAGTCCCAGAATATATTCAGAAGAAGAGTAAGGTCATATCCAACCACAGTATCCTGATTTATTGTTAACATTCTTAAGTGAAAATACCTTGTTTGTTTGTTTGTTTGTTTGTTTTTTGAAACAGGATTTCTCTGTGTATACTCTGTCCCGGAACTCACTCTATAGACCAGGCTGGCCTCAAACTCAGAGATTTGTTGTTAAAGGTTCTTTCCAGCCTAGTCCCGCTGCTGCTTTAGCCCCAAATAAACACAGGGATGCTATATTAATTATAAAACTATTGGGCGAATGCTAGGGCTTCTTATTGGCTAGCTCTGACTTAATTATTATACCATTTCTATTAATATATGTATTTCCACATAGAGAATGCCTGGTGCGTCCTTTCCAGTCCTTACATGGTGACTTTTTTGTGAGCTCCCTCTGCCTACCTTTCCCAGAATTCTCCTCGTCTCCTCACCCTGCTTATCTTCCTGCCTTATTGGCCAACAGTGTTTTATTCATCAAGGGAAACATATATACAGAAGGACATCCCTCATCAGAGATTCTCCTGTTCCTGCCTCCCTAGTGCTGGGATTAAAGGCATATGTCACCATACCTGTCTTTTAAAATGCTTTCTATGGATCAATAGCTCTTAGGGCAAATATTGGTGATCATGCTCGAATTATTTTTTTTAATGCGACTGTGTCTATGCCTGCATGAGTTTCTGTGTATCACATGCATGTAATACGTTAAAATTCTTCCCCCTCTCCCAGACTGAGTTTCTCTGTAGCCCTGACTGTCCTGGAACTAGTTCTATAGTTCAGAGAACCACCTGCGTCTGTCTCCCGAGTGCTGGGATTAACATGTAGGAGTTGGAGCCAGGAGGATCATAAGTTTAGAGAGCCATTTTCATGTACATAGTGAGTTAAGGCCAGCATTAAAAACGGGGCTGAGACATGGCTCAACGGTTAAGAGCACTGACTGCACTTCTAGAGGACCTGGGTTCAGTTTTCAGCACCCATATGGCAGATCACAACTGTCTGTAACGCCAGTTCCTCAGGATCTGATACCTTCACACCAATGCACATAAAATAAAGTTAAAATAACTTATTAAAAGAAACAAAAACTTGAAACAGCTGGTCGGTGGTGTGACAGACCTTTAATACCAGAACTCAGGAGGCAGAGGCAGGTGGATCTCTATGAGTTTGAGGCCAACCTGGTCTACAGAGCTAGTTCGAGAACAGGCTCCAAAGCTACAGAGAAACTGCATCTTGAAACTCCCCCCCCCCAAAAAAAAAAACCAACCAAACAAACAAAGGCCAAAAACCTAGAAACAGCATCTCATTAAGTTGTCCAGGCAAGCTGTGAATTTGGCACTCCTCCCACCTGAGCTTCCCAAGTAGCTGAGATTATATGCTTATACCACCAGGCCTGCCTCCTAAAACCTTTTATCATAATGTGTGGCATGTCAATTTGGGAAATGATGGTCAAGTCTGAGCATGACTCAGGATGAGTATTCATTCCTGGGGTGTAAACCCAGCATATAATAGTTATCCTGGTAGTCAGTAGGCAAACAAGGAAAGGAAAAGACAATCCCCGTAGGTCTTGAGGTAAGGGAGTGAGTAGGATGAGGATAGTGATAATAAGGGCAGATGCCAAGTCACCAGTGAATGCCTTTCGTCTTTTGGCTATGCTGGAGACCAGCTTGCTTCCTTAGAGACCTGGGGTGGAAGTACGTCTGCCCTCCACTTTTAGCTGTATTTGTATTATACATAGATATAGGGTGTTAATGTTTTGTTCTTGTAATGTTTGAATGATACAATCCTGCTGATCTTCTAACACCATTTTGTGTTCCTAGTTGATGCTTTCTGAGTGGTTAATTGATGTCCCTTCAGATCTGGGGCAAGAATGGATTGTGGTTGTGTGTCCTGTTGGGAAAAGAGCTCTTATCGTAGCCTCCAGGGTGAGTAACTGCTTCCTGCCTCTAATACCAGCAAGCCTAGTAAGTGATAAAAGGGATGTTTGTCTCCCATTTTCACCTGCCACACAACTGTGCCTGGAGTTTCTTGAACTAATTTATTTATTTATTATGTATACAGTGTTCTGTCTGCATGTAACCCTGCAGGCCAGAAGAGGGCACCAGGTCTTATTATAGATGGTTGTGAGCCATCATGTGGTTGCTGGGAATTGAACTCAGGACCTCTGGAAGAGCAGCCAGTGCTCTTAACCTCTGAGCCATCTCTCCAGCCCCCAAAGTGCTTTCCTGCTGGAAGAATTTTTGCCTAATGATAATCCTGTAGGATAAAGAAGCAAGAGTCAAGAATACCTGTGAATGCCTAATGAGAATGGTAGCTTTCTCCCCACAGGGTTCAACCAGTGCCTACACCAAGAGTGGCTACTGTGTCAATAGGTTTTCATCCCTTCTGCCAGGGGGCAACAGGAGAAACTCAACAACAGCCAAAGGTACCTAGATATAATATCTATATACTATGATTTTTGTTCTTCCTCCCCCATTACCCCTTCAGTACTGGGGCTCAATCACAAAGGATATCAGCCAGCCAATTCAGTAGATACAAGTGCTTTTTGTGAAGTCCACATGACCTGAGTCTGAGCCCACAGGGAAAGTTAGAGAGCTAACTCCTAAGAGTTGTGATCTCCAGCATGTGTCATAGCACATGCCCATGTGCATGCAGCATACATCATAATAAAACTTTAAATTAAAATGAAACACCACCTCTAAAAGCAAGTTCAAGAGAAAGGGCTTATTTGCCTTACACTTCTGCATTGTAGTTCATCATTTAAGGAAGCCAGGTCAGGAGATATGACTCCATGGTTTACTGTTTTGTTTTTTGTTTTTGTTTTTTGTTCTTTTTGAGAGAGGGTTTCTTTGTATTGTTTTGGAGGCTGCTCTGTAGACCAGGCTGGCCTCGAACTCTCAGAGATCCGCCTGCCTCTGCCTCTCGAGTGCTGGGATTAAAGGTGTTTGCCACCAACGCCCGGCTTGGTTTACTGTTGTTTTTAACAGGGAATTTGTTCAACAGGTTCTGGGATATAACAAAGTTCAAAACTTTGCAAATATTCTCCATAGGGAAAAGCAGAATACACACCAGACATAGTAGTTAGCATTTCAGCTGATGGTGGGAAGAGTGGGGTGTTTCTGATGCCTTAGTGTGGGGGCCATGAGTGTTGAGTGAACCCAAGGAAGTTGGAGGTGAGCCTCTGACATGTTGGAGTGAATTCCCAGGTCTAGTGGATGTGCCCTTTGAGCCTGGACATGGATTGCAGGAACAGATGTGTATATTTCCAGGCTCTGAAGGTTAGACAATAAAATGAATAAATATCGGGGATGAGCCGGGCGTTGGTGGCACACGCCTTTAATCCCAGCACTCGGGAGGCAGAGGCAGGCGGATCTCTGTGAGTTCGAGGCCAGCCTGGTCTACAGAGCGAGTTCCAGGACAGCCTCCAAAGCCACAGAGAAACCCTGTCTCGAAAAACCAAAAAAAAAATAAATAAATAAATATCGGGGATGGTGGGTGGATACATGGATCTGGGAATTGGACACCCAGTGTTAAGGTGGGACCCTAGGAGCTAGCCAGCCCAGCTGGAGAGGTAAGGGGCATGGGTTTAGAGCAGACTAAGCAAAGTGAGAGCCAGGGCTGATTCACATTCTCTGGGTCTTGCAGAGACACTGGATGAGGCTGGGTGCTCCTGAATATAATGTGGAATTGGAGTAAACACTACTAATTAGTTTTCAATTCCAGTAGACCTAAGAACTTGTCTTTGGCCTTATTAGTCTCCTTTGCTCAGCACCTAGAAGACAATGGACTGTAAGGTTTGGTCCATAAGCAGTTACATTGTACTGGTCTAGTGCCCCAATCCTCCAGCTATAGGCAAACAGAAACTAGTGGAAAGGACATGTTGGTCCTGGTGATCTCAAGGTTGTCCGTGTAGAGCAGGAAACTCTGTTGGTCCATCTCTTCTATGCACCTCTGTTGCTTTGTATCCCAGACTGCTGATCTTCATAAACTTCTTCCTTTCCACCTTGGCCCTTCTCTGGAAGTTAGCAGGGCAGGACCTCTTTAGCTTCCACGGGGGCTCCCTGGTTCAAATTGTATGATGCTTTTGCCCTTAGATGCAGGTGCAGCAGCTCCATTCCTTGTTGTATAGAACCAGGCAGAGTTTACATTTATAAAAATCCTAGGTGATTTTCTATAAAATATGAACTATCTATTTATTTATAGTCTTAAAAGACAGGGTTTCTTTGTGTAGCCTTAGCTGTCCTAGAACTAGCTCTGTAGACCAGGTTGCCCTTGAACTCACAGAGATCCACCTGTCTTTGCCTCCCAAGTGCTGGGATTAAAGGTGTAGGCCACCATGGCCTGGCTGTCATTGATTTTGATAGTCTCAGGGCCAACTGCTGTTGGTTTTCTGGTTGATCCCTGTTACTCTTCAAGGACGAGGCCACATCTTGCACCCTGGTTAATGCTGGAAATCAACAGGGGAAGGAATTGGGCTTTAGGAGTCAGGGAGAAACCAACCTTTTCCTGAGGCCTCAGAGTGATACTGCAACTTCACTATGCAAGCAGACTTGGTTAGTTATTGTAATGACCCACTTTGATAGCATCCTCCCTTCAGGATCAGGTCTCCTCAGTTCTATGATATATGCAGTCCTGTGAGGCCTGCTAGGTAGTATATCTCTGAATGAAGATCATCACTCATGCATTGGGCCACTTATTACAAAATGACATGCAGTTTTTTCCATAAAGGTCCCTGAGAGAATGTCAAGTGTAACAACACAGTGAGCTATTTCTGGGGTTTCCCAGTCCAATTTTCTTTCTCCTTTGTCATTTTCCTACCTTAGCTTTCCTCCTACCTGGCCTCAGTAAGTGGACTAGGGTTGTAAGCATTAAACAATGTATTCTTGGTTGTTTTGTGAGTGGAATGGGCAAAGCTGAGGCCTAAACCTGCTCTATTCTCTTCCTGCTCAGGTTCATTGAAGATTTCTTCTGTGTTCTGTAGTAAGGCTAGCTTTCTCTGTTGGCTTTGCTCTTTTTTTTTTTTTTTTTTTTTTTTTTTTGAGACAGAGGTTCATGTAGGGATCAGACTGGTCATATACTAAAGATGACTTTAAATTCCTGATCTTTACCAGGTGTGGTGCCACACACCTTTAATCCCAGCTGTTGGGAGGGAGAGGCAGGCAGATCTCTGTGAGTATGAGGTCAGCCTAATCTACAAAGTGAGTTCTGGGATAGTCAAGGCTACACAGAGAAACCCTGTCTCAAACACACACACACACACACACACAAGAAAGGAAGGAAGGAAGAAAGAAAGAATGGAAGGAAGGAAGGAGAGAAGGAAGGAAGGAGGGAAGGAAAAACAATCCTGATCCTCTTGCCTCAGTCTACCACGTACAGGGAATACAGGCAGGAAGCACTGTAGCCCGCCTCCTTTACCCCAGCTTTCTCCTAGAACTCCTGCTGTTCATAGTTCACATTGTGTAACTTAGCTCTTGTCTCTGTGATCATCTTATATCTATTTCCTTGAAGAAAGTGAGGAAGTTGTATGTGATATTCCTCACATGGCACAACACTCATAATAAGAAAGTAATTGTAAGCCAGATGTGGTTATGTCCAGTCCCTCAGAATGCAATGTGACTTGTGTAACAGAGCAAAACTTTTCACATACACATAGAATAAAAATAGCCTAGAGTGGTAGCAGGTGCCTCATGATCCCAGCATTCAGGAAGTCAAGGACAGTAGGATTGCCAAAAGCTTGAGGCCAGTGTGGGCTACAAAGTGAAGTCCTGTCTTAAAACAATATAATAGCAGATTTGATGGTGCCTGTCTATAATCTTAGCAATTGGGAGATGGAAGCAAGATCAGGAATTCAAAATCATCCTCGGGTCCATAGTGTATTTTTTTTTTTTTTTTTTTTTTTTTTTGGTTTTTCGAGACAGAGTTTCTCTGTGGCTTTGGAGGCTGTCCTGGAACTAGCTCTTGTAGACCAGGCTGTCTTGAACTCACAGAGATCCGCCTGCCTCTGCTTCCTGAGTGCTGGGATTAAAGATGTGTGCCACCACCACCCAGTCAGGCTAGCTTGTCTTAAAACAACAATAAAAGCAAAATTAAAACCTGAACTTCTTTGAAAGTAAATAAATGTCCCAACTTGTTTAGACTTCCCACTGACTAAAGTGGGATCTCTCATACTATCTTGCATCCTTCAGCTATGTCAGGTAGCTAGAATGGGTATGTAGAACTTTCTTCTTGATGAATTTATCATCTTTAGTACTGACAGTTGCCACAAGCCATGAGGATTGTTGACTTGAGCCTGTTAGGATGGAGCTCCTTATATCACGGTGGATAGAACCCTGGCTGGAAGTTGAGCCTTGTGTTGACTTTCTTCCTTGTATCTGTAGACTACACCATTCTGGACTGCATTTACAGTGAGGTGAACCAGACCTACTATGTCTTGGATGTGATGTGCTGGCGTGGACACCCTGTTTATGACTGTCAGGTAAGGAGTGATAATCTCCTCATGTTTTTCCTGTCTTCTTTCCTCCTGGGAAGGTGGTTCAGCATGTGGGTTTGGTACATGATCAACTTCTTGGTAAATACAGGATGTGGTAATCAAGAACATTATCTAATGCTCCCTGCATCTTTGAAGGTGTTTGAATTAGCTTAGTTTTAAAAATAAGTATGAGGAACTAAGGGAAATAATAGCATTTCTTAAGGAAGAAGAAACAGCAGAGGTGCAGGCTGGAGCTATGTTAGCAGCTGTGGTCACTCCCTCACCTCGATCCAGAGAATGTGAGGATTGTTGTAAGGATGATTGAAGGGTAAGAAGTGTGGCATCTTATGCAGACAACACCATCAAACAAACTCATGTGCCCTCCCTTCTTCACCCACCACATCCTGACCCTGAAAATGCCAGGTCATCCTTGATATGATACAGAGCCTCAAATCTCTTATTCATTCATTCATTCATTTATTTATTTATTTATTTATTTATTTATTTATTTATTTATTATGTATAACAGTGTTCTGCCCGCATGTATCTGTGCAGGTCAGAAGAGGGCACCAGATCTCATTACAGATTGTTGTGAGCCACCTTGTGGTGGCTGGGAATTGAACTCAGGACCTCTGGAAGAGCAGGCAGTGAAGCGCTCTTAACCACTCAGCCATCTCTCCAGCCCCCATCAAATCTCAAAGCTTTCTCTAGGAAGAGATTATAGGCACGAACCAATGTGCCTAGTTCCATTGACTTCTTCCTTCCTTCCTTCCTTCCTTCCTTCCTTCCTTCCTTCCTTCCTTTCTTTCTTTCTTTCTTTCTTTCTTTCTTTCTTTCTTTCTTTCTTTCTTTCTTTCTTTCTTTCTTTCTTTCTTTCTTTCTTGAGATTACAGGCATGAACCAATGTGCCTAGTTCTATTGACTTCTTTCTTTCTTTCTTTTTTTTTTTTTTTTTTTTTTTTTTGAGACAAGGTCTCACTCTGTAGCCCTTCTGGCCTGAAATTCACAGATGCACCTGCCTCTGCCTCCTGAGTTCTGGGATCAAAAGTGTGTACCACCACACTGGGATAGCCTGCTAGACTGTTTCTTTCTGGTGGGTTGCAGGAAATGCCAGCTAGTGGTGCTTTGATTTATTTGGGATAGAATTTTGCTATCTAGTCTTAGGTGGCCTGGAACTCATTAAATAGCCCACACGCAGCTTTGTTTTTGAGACATGAAGTCATTATGTAGAGCTGGTTTGGGTTGGTGCATGCCTTTGATCGATCCCAGCACTCAGGAGGCAGAGGCAGGTGGATCTCTGTGAGTTCAAGGCCAGCCTGGTCTACAGAGCAAGTGCCAGGGCAACCTCCAAAGCTACACAGAGAAACCCTGTCTCGAAAAAACAAACCTATGATCCTCCTCTTGTCTCAGTCTCTTCAAGAGGCTGAAATTATAGATTTTTCTCATCATTTCTGGTTCATGTTTTCCTTTAGTTTTTGTTTTTGCTTTATTTGCTTTTGGTCTTTTCCTTTATTGATTTTTTTTTTTTCGAGACAGGGTTTCTCTGTATTGTTTTGGAGGCTGTCCTGGAACTAGCTCTGTAGACCAGGCTGGCCTCGAACTCACAGATATCCACCTGCCTCTGCCTCCTGAGTGCTGGGATTAAAGATGTGCGCCACCACTGCCCAGCCCTCTCTTTAGTTTTTTTTTTTTTTTTAAAGATATCCAGAACTTATAGATTTGGTAATTAAAACCACATACATATTATAATATATAGTTATACTACAAGGAAAAGGCAAGTGCAGCATGGTAGCTCATGCCTGTGGTCCCTTTATTACAGGCTGAAGCTGAATGAATGTCATGAATTTCAAGCCCAGCCTGAGCTGTATAGCAAGACCTTTCCTGTCTCAATAAAACAAACTAATCAAGGAAATGAGGATGCAACTCAGCTCAGTTGGTAGAACGCTTACCTAGTATACACAAAACTCTGGGTTCAGCCCCAGCACTTCATAAACTAGTCATGCCTGTAGCCTCCAGAGGACCAGAAGTTCAAGGCCACCCTCTGATATATAGCAAGTTTGAGGCCAGCCTGAGCTGTACAAAACCCTGTCTCAACAAAAACACAGAAGAAAAATAAATTACTTTTATTGTTTCAAATTTCCAGAAGCAAAGTAAAAGAACAAGGAGTATCTCATAGAAAAATGTACATTAATAATTCAGAGAATCAAGCACTTAGGAAAAGATTCAGCTGTGTAGTATTTAATAGCCAGATTAAAATGAAGCAAGGGCTGTAGTGTAATGTGCTTTGAAATGGAGGAATCCCACAATATTTTCTTTGTTCACTCAGGCAAGTGACTTCTCCTTTCTGGTTTTCAGAGTCTTTAACATGTAAAATAGCAATGATGGTAATATAGTTCCTAGAGGGTGGTTGAAGTTACTCATTCATTCATCTATTTATTTATTTGTTTGTTTGTTTTTCCAGACAGAGTTTCTCTTGTGTAGCCATGGCTGTCCTGGACCTTGCTCTGTAAGGTCAAGCTGGACTAAAACTCACAAAGATCTTCCTGCCTTTGCTTCCTGAGTGCTGGGATTAAAGATGTGTGACACCATGGCCCAGCTATTTGTTTATATATTTATTTATTTAAAGACAGCGTCTTATTCTGTAGCTGAGGATGGCTAAGAACTAACTATGTAGCCCAGGTTAGCCTAAGTCTTGTGGTCTTCCTGCTGTAGTTTTCCAAATGCTAGAGTCATAGGCATGATCCTGTTTATATGAGTGGACATTGTGTTGTTATTGTTTGAAGCTGGCTCACCCTATATAAGAGGCTGAAGACTGCTGAACATTGGTGGTGCACACCTTGAATCCCAGCACTCGGGAGGCAGGCAGATTTCTGTAAGTTCGAGGCTAGCCTGGTCTATAGAGTGAGTTCCAGACTGTTACATTGCAAAACCAAAACCAAACAAATAAAACCAAAAAAACACCAACAAGCCTAAATAAAAAATAAATATAAGATCTTGCTGTTTAGGTCAGGATAACCTTCAACTCGTGGTCCTTCTGCTTCAGACCTCTGATTGCTGCTGGGATTGCAAGTATGAGCTACCATGCCCAGCCGCCAGTGGAATCAAGACATATATTATATAGCGTAGGCTGATTTCACTATGTGGTCAGGATAACCTGTCTCTATCTCCTAAATGCTGGTATTTGTGCAGGTTTGAGCCACTATGACTGGCAGCTTGCTAAATTTTCAAAGAAAAAAAATCTTACAACTTATACTTGTATGAAAATGCTTTTATGTAGTATAATCTTTGTATAATATAAACAATGAAAATATATTTTAGAATTTTATCATTATTGTGTGTGTATGATGTAAAAGCAAGTACATGGAAGTCAAAGAATGGATGGATGGATGAAGGTTTTCATCTTCCAAGTGTGGGTTGTAAAGATCAAATTCAGGTTGCAAATTTGCATGGCAAGCACCTTTAGTCACTGGTCTATGTTGCCGTCTGAAATACACCCCATACACTGGTAAAATCTTGAAAAAATATCTTTTTTTGTTATTTTTTTTTAGTTTTTCGAGACAGGGTTTCTCTGTAGCTTTGGAGGCTGTCCTGGAACTAGCTCTTATAGAGCAGGCTGGCCTCGAACTCACAGAGATCTGACTGTGCATGCCTCAGGAGTGCTGGGATTAAAGGCGTGCACCACCACTGCCTGGCAAAATCTTGAAAATTTTGATAAATTTATGGTTCTAAATGGAAATAGGGATAGCACCAGCAGGGCTTAGGTCTATATGAGGCACATGGCTATTAGAATGAAGTGTTTCATTCATATAAGAGTTTGAGATGAGCCGGGCGGTGGTGGCGCACACCTTTAATCCCAGCACTAGGGAGGCAGAGGCAGGCGGATCTCTGTGAGTTCGAGGCCAGGCTGGACGAGGCCAGGCTGGACAGACAGCCTCCAAAACAATACAGAGAAACCCTGTCTTATAAAACCAAAAAAAAAAACAAAACAAAAAAATAAAGGGTTTGAGATGAACTTTGTTTTTTCAACCTTCTCTTTGGCAGACCGATTTCCGATTCTACTGGATGCACTCAAAGTTACCAGAAGAAGAAGGACTTGGAGAGAAAACCAAGATTAATCCTGTAAGGCTGTTGTTAGGAGTACAGAGTTCTTTTTATTATTGTTGTTTAGTTTTGAGACAAGGTTTCATATGGCCCAAGCTAGCCTTGAACTGGCTCTGTAGCTATGACCTTAGACTCTGGATCTTCCTCCCTCAGCTTCCCAAGTGTTGGGATTACAAGCATGAGCCCCAATTCCCTGTACTTGTTCCTCATTTTCTTCTTTTCTTTCCTCCCTCCTTCCCTTCCTTCCCTTTCTCTTTTTAAAAAAAAAATTCATTCATTTATTTTTTATAAGGATTGGTGTTTGACCTGCATGTCTTTGGAGGGTGTTGGACCCCTGGAACTGCAGTTACAGACAGTTGTGAGCTGCCATGTGGCTGCTGGGAATTGAACCTAGGTCCTCTGAACAGCAGCCAATGCTCCCAACCACTGAGCTATTTCTCTAGCCCCTTTCTCTTTTTAAACAGAGTTTCTATACATAGTCCTGGCTATCTTATAAACCAGGCCAGTCTCAAACTCACAGAGATCTGCCTGCCTCTGACTCCTGAGTGCTGGGACTAAAGGTGTGTGTGCCATCATACCTGGCCGAAAACTATTTTATAATTTTGTGTGTATATATGTTTTGCCTACCTATATGTCTGCACTGTGTGGTGCCCACCAAGTTGAGAAGAAGGTATCGGATCTTCTCAAAGGGATTGGGACCACCATGTGGCTCCTAGGAATCAAAGCCAGATCCTCTGGAAAAGCAGCCAGTGCTCTTAAACACTGAGCCATTCCTCTAGCCCTAGAGCTTACTACTCTTGATGAATGAGTTTATCTTTCAAGGCAACTTATAATAGTAAAATGGTAAGACTGAGTTTCATGGATATCCACATCTGAATTCTGTTTGTGAGTTTAAAACTAGTGTAAGGGCTGGAGGCGTGACTCAGTTTATAGAACTTGTTTAGAATGTGTAAAGACCTAAGTTCATCCCTAGCACCATTAAAAATAATAATTATAATTATTAGGATAATAGCCTCACTTGCTTTAGGTTTTTTAATCTGCAAATGGCACTAATAAGCCAGGAGAGGTAGTACATACTTGTAGTCCTAGCACACAGGAGGCTTAGGAAGGAGGAGCTCATTTTTGACATTAGCCTGGACAATATAGTTATAGAGTGAGATCCCATCTCCAAAAAAGGATACTGTCTGTCAAGAGTTGTAAGAACAAAATTATACACACACACACACTTTGTGTGTGTGTATATATATATGCAACTCCTCATAGCTTAACCCTTCTGGTAAAGCATTTAGTAAATGATGCTTACTATAACATGCTGTGGGGGGGGCATGAGTAATTGAACCAGGGCCTCATGCATGCTCAGCCAGCATTCTACCACTAAGCTGTACCCCTGTTGTGTGACAAAACTTTTCTTGGGAAGAAAAGCTTTTTTCTTTGTCCCCCCCCCTTTTTTTGTTTTGTTTTGTTTTGTTTTTCGAGACAGAGTTTCTCTGTGTCTTTAGAGTCTGTCCTGGAATTAGCTCTTGTAGACCAGGCTGGTCTCAAACTCACAGAGATCTGTGTCTGCCTCAGGAGTGCTGGGATTCAAGGTGTGCGCCACCACCGCCAGGCACCCTCCCCCCATTTTTAAAGATTGGGTTGATAGCTTAAATTGACCTTGAAACTCGAAACTCACAGTGATTTTCTTGCCTCAGCTTCCTGAGTGCTGGAAAGGAAAACTTATTTGGTAAAGCTCTTCAATCAAAGAGCCAGTATCATCTGAAACATGTACTAATTCTTTGTTCTCATTTACATTTCAGTTTAAATTTGTGGGGTTAAAGAATTTCCCGTGTACCCCTGAGAGCCTGTGTAAGGTGCTGTCTATGGATTTTCCTTTTGAGGTAATGAAACCATTGTCTATTGTTCTGACATGATTGTAGGATACAGAAAGACTGGGGGTACATGAAATCTGATTTTTCTGTGTCTAAGCATCAAAACTGAATAGGCCCCTAGCACCTCTGGGAAACAGACCTAGAGAAGAGCCAAGAAAGAATCCTGCCATCCTAGGCCATCATTGTGTGCCTTGTTTGACTGCCGTGGCTGGTTGTAAAGGCATTCGGGCATACGTTGGTTGACTGACCCCAACAGATGGTCAAAGCACAGATGGTTCCTGGGATAACAGTGTTTACTAATCAGTGGCATGGTGGTAGGGCCAACTCATTTACTTTGCTCATACTTGTCATGTGTTAGTACTGAAAATCTCCTGTCCCCAGGAACTCCCAAGTCTGGGATACTCTTTTATCATCTTCAGAGCCTGCATAGTCTCTCTTGGCTTACCCATCATCTCTTTTAAATTTCTGCCTAGTCACTGTCAAGTTTTTTCTTGAAGTATATTTAATTTTGTAAAAGATAACAGCTTCCTGGATAAGGCAATGGCAAAGACTAAGTTGCTTCATTTCTGGGAGTCAATTAAGAAGGTGGTGAGAACACTATCTTTATTTATAACTCTTATATCCCAGTGGCAAGAAATGCTTTTTAAGAGTGAGTCACTGGATCACGGAAGAGAAAAGTGTGGGGCTGTAGGAGGTTTTCCCATTTAGAAAAACTGAGTTTCCCAGAATATGGCTCCAGACAGTCTAGGAGGAGGTTTAGGCAGTCACAGTAGCTTGGGCAGCAGGGCCTCTGAACAGGACTGCTCCAAGCTTAGTCTAGTGCCTCAGTGGGGCTACCTGGATCTCTTGCCTTCATCCCATGTGAGAGCTCAGCTTACTATTGAGACTTTCTGGTGGTAGAAAGTGCTCACAACTTAGGGACAGAAGACATGAAACATGGACTCAGGTTGAATCCCTGCTTCAGACTTTTCATATTCACAGAGGTGTCTAAAAATTTCCATGTGGAGAAACCCCCCTCTCTCAAATGCCCTGGGGATGGGGACGGGGATGGGGGGAGGGTAAGAAAGTAAAACAGTGGATAGAAAAGCTTTCTGCAAATCAAACTTTTTTAAAAAAATGTTTTTATTACTAGATCTCCTCCCCCTTCTTTTGGACAAGGTTTCATTATATAACTCAGTCTGGCTGCTCTTGAGATCTTTCCTGCTTCATCCTGCAAAGTCCTGGGGTTATAGGTATCTACTGTCATCTCCAGCCCCAGACCTTTCTTTAAGAACCTGCATATGAGAAGCAAGGAGGCCAGGTGGTGGTGGCTCACACCTTTAGTTCCAGCACCTGGGAGGCAGGAGCAGGTGGATCTCTGTGAGTTTGAGGCCAGCCTGGTCTACAAGAGCTAGTTCCAGGACAGCCTCCAAAGACACACACCCTGTCTCGAAAAACAAAAAAACAAAAACAAAATAAAATAAATTACTGGAGCTCCAGTGGTGCAATTGGTTAGTGCACGGTATTTATATGGGAAGCAAGGAGCTTTTTCCTCTGGCAGTGACTTAGAATAAAAAAAGAAAAATTGGCTGGGCATGGTGGCACACTCCTTTAATCCCCATCACTTAGAAGGCAGATGCTGGTGGATCTCTATGAATTCAAGGCCAGCCTGGCCTGTACATCAGGATAGATGGGCTGTATAATAGAGAAACCTTGTTTACCCAAACAGAGGACCCACAAGAGCGTCCTCTGTGTAGCTATCTTGAAAATATGTGGCCCACAGTCATTATCATTCTTGATTTTTCCTTCTATAGGTAGATGGACTTCTCTTCTACCATAAACAGACACACTATAGCCCTGGGAGTACTCCCTTAGTGGGCTGGCTGCGCCCCTACATGGTGTCAGATATTCTAGGTGTAGCAGTGCCAGCTGGTCCACTGACCACCAAGCCAGAATATGCTGGTCACCAGCTCCAACAGATTATTGAGCACAAGAGGAGCCAGGAGGACATGAAGGATAAACTCACACACAAGGCTTCTGAGAATGGACACTATGAACTGGAGCACCTGTCTACTCCCAAGTTGAAGAGTGCCCCCCACAGCCCTGGGAACCTCATGGACAACTAAAGAGGACAGCCCACAAAAGACTGGGGAAGAGGACAGTGGGGATAGCAATAGGAGACCTTATTTCAGAGTGCACTTTCCAAACACACCCCACTAGAAACAGCTTGGCCCCTGTATGGGATGTTGGCTCGGACTTGGGGTATGGGTCCCTATTGGGTAGAGTTGGAATCCAGATAGATTTGATTATCTCTTTGCTGTGGTATGTATATCCCAGGTCCACAATGTAAATATATGCAATTCTTAAGAAAAAGCTTGCTTGTGATTATTAAGACTTAAATATTTCCTCCACCTTCCCCTTCCTCCCTAGGATATTTATGGCATGGCTGTTCAAATCTTGGGCCTTTTCACCCTTTTTAGCACTCAAACATTCTGCTGAGTTTCCAGTTGCTGCTGTTGGTAATGCCATTTTCTGAAAGGTCTTACCAGGAACTGCAATTCTTGGTATTTGAATGTGTTCCTTCTTCTGAGAAAACAAGTGTGATTTTCTACGGTTTAGACCTTCCCAGAGATAAAATGCTAATAGGGTTCATTTACTTTAAGAAATGTTAGAGCCCCTATCAGGAGATAAACCTCATGCTATGCCTCTGAGATGTGTGTCATAGAGGTGGACAAGACCTTGAGGGGTGTGCCATCCAGTGAGAAAATAAACTCCATAGTATGTAGAGCATGGTGAAATGATTGCTGTAGTGCAGAAAATTATCTAGAGCTTAGGGCCAAAGGAAGAGCAGGATATTTCACAGAGGAGGATGGAGCTGGGCTAAGGCTCTGGGGAGGAACCTAGAGTACTCTGCAGACCAGGAAGAAAGTAGGTCCTCAAAGAGTTAGATGTTATGTAGCAGCACTCCTCTAGAGCAGGGTGGGACTTGGTCTGGAATCAAGTAGGTCCAGCATAGCTCAAGTACAAAATAGGAATGGAGAGTTAGGGAGAGGAGGCTGGAAGGCCTAGGGGACTTAAGAGATTTTTCTCCTAGTGAAAAGGAGTTAAGAAAAGGCCCTGGGGCAAAATTCCTCATCAGCAAGGAAAGTAGAAGTGTTTAGAATTAACCAGTTAGTTTTACTCTGTTCAGAAAGCATATTCCAGATCCTTTGGCCTCAATCTGCAGCCCACTCTGCTTTCCACATTGTTAGGACTCCTCTTACTGGACAAACTGACATCACCATTCTCTTCAACAGAAAATGTCCCCTTTCAATGAATCCAGGTCAGATCATGACTTAACTCCCCTTGAGTTAATTAGTTCTGAGAACAGATGTGGTGGCTCTGTTCAGAAGCAGTGGTTAGGCAGAGCCTGGTTACACAGTTCAGCACATCCAGTGGAACTCAGAGAGGCATCTGCTCTCTAATCAGACAGGAAGAAACTCTGCTTTTCCTCTTACCTAGTGACAAAGCCCACTGACTACAGATTTAGGCATTTGCCTATATACACTCGTTCTGTATTTAGGTCAGATTTGCTATATAAATATAGTACTGTTCCTTATGTTAAGGAACTTTTTTTTTTTTTTTTTTTGGTTTTTCGAGACAGGGTTTCTCTGTATTGTTTTTGAGGCTATCCTGGAACTTGCTCTGGAGACCAGGCTGGCCTCAAACTCACAGAGATCCATCTGCCTCTGCCTCCCAAGTGTTGGGATCAAAGGCATGCATCACCAATGCCCGGCATTAAGGAACATTTTTGCAGGCTGACCTTGAACTAACCTTTCAGCCCAAGCAAAGCCTTGAATTTTCATTTTTAAGTCTCAGCTTTGCCACCCTCCCTCACTTGTTGGATAGTTTTCTGAATTCCTCAGTTTTCTTTGAGCAGCCATCTTTATCAATTGGGGAATTGTACAATTTGGGCTGGAGAGATGGCTCAGCATGCTGTTCAGAGCACTGGCTGCTCTTCCAAAGAACCGGGGTTCAATTCCCAGCACCCACATGGCAGCTCACAACAGTCTGCAGTTCAAATTCCAGTGTACACTCTGAAGTACATTCAGGCAAAATACCAATGTACATAAAAATAAAATCTTGAAAGTTTTTTTTTTTTGTTTTTGTTTTTTTTTGAAGACAGGGTTTCTCTGTATTGTTTTGGAGGCTGTCCTGGCACTTGCTGTATAGACCAGGCTGGTCTCGAACCCATAGAGATCCGCCTGCCTCTGCCTCCCCAGTGCTGGGATTAAAGGCACCACCAACACCTGGCTGAAAAGAAAATAAAAACCTAGAATTTCAGCCTGGTGGTGGTACACCTTTTATCCCAGCACTTGGGAGGCAGAGGCAAGAGGATCTCTGAGAGTTGGAGGCCAGCCTAGTCTACAGAGTGAGTTCCAGCAGAGGCAAGGCTACACAAACACTCTGTTTTGAAAAACAAAAAAAGAAAAAGGAAAAAGGAGACCATGTCAGTTTCAACCTTGCATTTTTGATACTCCTGCCTCTGCTCCTGAATCTGCTACAAGTGCTGGGGACCAAAATCTAACTCTGGGCCACTGTGCATGCCAGGCAAGCACTCTACCAACTGACATACATAACCAGCCTCTCTTCCCCACCCTCCTCCTTTTGCCGGGGTATGAGACTCAAACTTGAGGTCTTCTTGTGTTGGACGGGTCTACAGATGTGCACCAACATGTTTGGCACTGGTGATGTTTTTGTGTGTGTGCATATGCATGCATCTGGAAGCCAAAGGTCAATGCTGGGCATCTTCCTCAGTAGGTTTCCATTTTTATGGTTTAGATAGGAGGGTCTATATTGGTAATATGGTTCTTCTACATATATATATGTGTGTGTTGCTATATGTATATACACACATTCAACCATATACATCTTTTATAAGGTGAAATTTGTGATTTTGCCTTTCTTTTAGTGTTTATGGTGAGATTAGATGAATAAAAATTATTTATTTTAATTTTAGGTTGTTTTGTGTTTCTTTTGTTGTTGTTGTTGTTGCTTTTTGTTTTTTGTTGTTGTTTTCTTTTTGAAACAGGGTTTCTCTGTTTGTAGTAGTCCTCGCTGTCCTGGACCTCACTATGTAGACCAGGCCTGAAACTCACAGAGATCCAACCTCTGTCTCCTCCAGAGTGCTGAGGTTAAAGGCATACACCACTACTACTGCCAGGCAGTTTTTGTTTTTCTTGAAACAGGATCTCTCTATGTAGCCCTCATTGGCCTACAACTCATGATGTAGACCAGACTGGTCTTGAACTCAGAATTCTGCCTGCCTCTGCCTTCTGAATGCTGATCTCAGTTGCATACTATGACAACATACAAAATAATTTAGGACAGTGTCTAAGGGAAATATGGTAAGTATACAGCTAATGTCAACTTATTCCAGTGTATGTACAGTATGATTTATTACTAAGTCAATTGAGGGTTACTATGTTGCTCCCAGTCTTTGGTCTTTAATCTATTCTGTAGTCTAAGATCTGTCTGAGCAGGATAGCTATACCATACTTGATTTTGTTAGTTCAAGACTGCAGTTTGGACCAGGTTTGGTGACACACACCTTCGATCCCAACACTTAGGAGTCATAGGCAGGTGGATCTCTGTGAGTTCAAGGCCATCCTGGTCTACAGAGTGAGTTCCAGGACAGCCTCCAAAGCAATACAAAGAAATCCTGTTTTGAAAAACCAAAAAAAAAAAAAAAAAAAAAAAAAAGCACTAGTTCAATTCCCAGCACCCACATAGCAGCTCACAAATGTCTTTAACTCCAGTTCCAGGGTACCTGACACCTATGGCAAAACACCAATGTACATAAAATAAAATAAAATAAAATAAAATAAAATAAAATAGAAATTAACAACCAAAAGAACTTTAGAGCCAGGCATGGTGGGGCACCTTTAATCCCAGCACTCAAGAGACAGAGGCAGGTTGATCTGGTCTACAGAGTCAGGATAGCCAGGCTACACAGAGAAACCCTGTCTCAAAAAGCCAAAAGGAAAAAAAGAAAAGCTTTAGAAATAGTTAAAGCAGAACACCATTCCGACTAATAATATTATACATGCTACCATTACTGTTAATATTTAGATGATAAATTCTTAGGAGGAATCTGTAGGATAATAAATCACTAAAAACAAAAGCATCACCTGGATTGGGACTGTTATCAGAGCCCATAGTGGTTTGCCAATGAAACATGTCATACTCAGTTAGACTTGCAGAACATTGGGCTGGAGGGCCAAAGGACCAAATCATTAAATTTTGTGTTTAATCTGTTTTAGTACAATAGTTTGCTTTTTACCTGACTCTTCACTATCTCAGAGTGAGCTCAAAGTTCCAGCTACACATTCTGGAAGCAGGGAAGGGTTATTTCTTCATCTCACATTGGCACACAGGAGCAGGGGCCTCGATCAATCTGTAGTCTTGGTTACCTCTCTTGTGTTCTGTAATTTCTCACTGCTTTGCTCCATTGTTGCCTCCTAACTCCTCAACTTAGTTCTAGAGCCTTTTCCTTATTAGGTAGAAAGCATGTATTTGTATAAATGACTGTTTTGTTTTATTTAGTTTTGGAGACAGGGTTTCACTATGTAACCTTGGCTGACCTAGGTTGTATAGACCTGGATGGACTCAAATTAACAGAGATCACCTGCCTCTCTCTGCCTCCTGACTGCCGAGATTAAAGGTGTGTACCACCATTACCCTGGCTAAATGACTCTTTAAACATACATTAGTGAAGTTATACTGTTAGAGCCAAGACAGTCACTTTAAAACAGGTGGATCTCAGTGAGTTCAAGGCCAGCCTGATCTACAAAACAAGTTCCAGGACTGTCCCACAGAGAAACCCTGTCCTCGGAACACAGAAAAACAACCAACCGAACAAAATAGGAGTGTTTTTTTTTTAAAAGATTTTATTTATTTATTTAATTAGTTTGTTTTCTGAGACAGGGTTTCTCTGTGTAGTCCTGGCTGTTCTGGAACTCTGTAGTCTGCCTCTGTGTGCCTCGTTCTGGGATTAAAGGTGTGTACCAACACCCTCACTACTGCTTGGTTTAAGATTTATTTTTATTATTTTATGTGTATGTCTGCAGATATATTCACAGGTACCTGAAGAGGCCAGAAGAGGGTGTTGCATATCCTGGAGCTGGAATTATGGACAGTTGTGAGCTGCCTGATAAGGGTTTTGGGAACCAAATTTGACTTCTCTGGAAGAGCAGCAAGTGCTCTTAACTGGTGACTCACCCTCTCCAGCTCCAAGTTTCCTTCCTTCCTTCCATTTTTTTTTTTTTTTTTTTTTTTTTTTTTGGTTTTTCGAGACAGGGTTTCTCTGTGGCTTTGGAGGCTGTCCT